GGTGGTTATAGCAACTGACAAGGCTTTATCACACCATATTCACCGAGAAAGGGCGGGCCATTAACGCTATTATCATATAGCTTACACGATAGCCTATCCAAACTGATGCAGTGAAGAGTCACACAATGTACCCCTTGCACATGCTGAATAGAACACAGAATATCTGTTGCGTCTGGAGTCACCTGAGGTCACTGGGGGGTTCATGTTCTATGTCTTCTATCTGGGTCACAGGCAGGGAACAGGTGTTCTTATGGGAGTCATTGGAACACAACTCAAGTTATTTTTGGATTTTTTAGAAGTAGAGCCGTGTTCTATTGGGTCACCTGAGGTCATATGCGGGTGATTATTCATTTTGTTTAATGTATGGATTGGGATGAATAAATACCCGATTTTGACTCTATTTGTGACATTACGGCGACATAAAGAATGTGGAATGGAGCCTTCTGATTGGTCAACGTCACCCGGCTATATGATAATGAAACATACTTACTTACTGTGGGCTTACTTAGTTACTAGCAAGGTAAAACATTGTGCCACGAAAGCTAGGACGTCACAAATCTCCATGGAGATTATGGAGATTAACTATTCCTAGATCAACAATCCTTTGTTCCCAAGGATCTAAGTTGGTGAGAGTCGTAACCGAGGAAACCCAAAACCTACTACAGGTTGTCGCCTGTCGCTTTGTACCTTTCAGTTTTGTCCCGAAGCACGTAGTAATCATGGTTACAAACGGGGCTGTCCTATACGTGTGATACGCCATTAACTAGACAAGCTTAACAACTGTTACAATGCTTTCATTTTGAAGAGAAAAAATAACGACAGGTGATTTTATCACATGAGCCAACGTTATAAATAGATCTTTCAATAAACACAATGTCAAAGTACACTTGATCGTTACATATCGATTAGCTATCCAGACGGGAACAATGAAACGTCCCTATGTGTTAAGAGATTTGGTGAACAAAAGCTTTGTGGACGTGAGAGGCCAGGTGCTTAGGTTAAAGAGCCTACACAAGTATTTGCGCATGACACAGGCACGGGGACTCGAAGACACAACAACTGTTGTGGTAGGAATTAGCCATGGGGCTAGTGTGCAGCACGGGGGGTGACCTGGCCGTGCCGGGGTCTGTGATAGGGTGTCCCATATGCGACAACAGGCCGTCCGAACAGGCAACGTGGGCAGGGCAGATACCGCTGACACAGGACAGGCTGCGTCACTTGGCCAGGTGGAACGAACAGGTAAGCAAGGAGTGATGAAATCCGCTAGACACACGACTGCTGCATGAAAAAAAAACGGTATACGATTCCGCTCATATACATAAGTGAAGAAACAAAATAATCCAGTATATGTATATAACGTTAAGACTTGACTTATATGGTAGGAAGGAAAGGGGAAGGCGGTTGAGAACTAACACAGGCCACATGAATAATTTAGCGGATAGAATGACGTTTGCGTGGAAAGGCAGTCCTTTCATTTTCTCTCCTTCCCAACCCTTTGTGTTGCAAGCACATGTTCTCTTGTGGACATACAAAGTACATGGCCGCTTAAATGTCTTCTGTTCTATATTGAGCAATTATGAGTTAATAATAAAAGAAGAATAACAGTGTATTTTTTTATATCGCACTCTTGAATTGAATCTTGTTCCTGGGGTACTTAGTAGGCTAATGCCCTTACTAGGTTACTGGTTCTTTGTCTTCTGTTGTTTGTTTAAGATTTACTGAGTCATGTTTGCTCGGAGTGCTAAAGTTCTAGTTCTACCCCGCGTGTGTTCTAGATTCCAAAGTTTAAGCGTAGCTGACCAACAAGACCCTGTGTTGTGTCCGGGCTCGCGTGTTGACATGAGGCGTTGCTAGGGAACCCCATTATACCGTCAGGGCAAATAAGGTCTCATATGATCCACGTGTTTCATCCTTTATTTAAGTTATTATGTCTTGTTCGAGAGAACGAGGAAGTGTGTGTTTGTGTGTCTATGTGTGAGGGTGGTGGCAGGTGTAAGGTGTGTGTCTGTGTGAGTGTGTGAGGGGGGGGGGGGTTAGCCCCGGTCACGTATGTGCATTGTAGGATGCAGGCTTTTCGCGACGATGTCGTAGATTTGAGAAGAAACTGGTACATTATTTCTTCTCAGACCTAAGACATAATATAATGTGATATCGTCGCGGAAGAAAACAATTCATCGTACGTGCAACGCACAATGTATGTGACCTGGCCTTAAAATGAGCCCTTTGTAATTGGTCGCACGAAAATACATTCCACTACACGTAATGCATAATTCAGTGTTCAAAAGTTCCTTCAATTACGTATACAATTTTGTACCCGTTAGGTATAGGTCTTTGATAGCTTCATGTACGGATATCATACATCAGTAATATTTCGTAACATGCTGAATTGAGGTATAGGCTTTTCCATTGTTCTTTAAAGGACTAACAAACTAACAAATGCGTATAGAAACACACAGTACAGGTGGCATTGTGGTCCAGAGGGGATGTTGCCAATGTAATCATTCGAATGAAAAGACTGTGGAAAGACTGATATATATTGATAGATTCATTGTCATAAGTGTATCGCATTACATTGTAAGGGGGGGTGTCATCGCATTGCCACGGAGACGCAAGGTAAGGCCTGAACACTTTTATAGAAAAAAAATTATAGACTATATTAATGAAGTATGCAGTATAGAACTATTTCTTGTTTTCCAGGCTCCTTTCTTCACCACATTTGAAGGGTTAGTCGATTACCTGACGGGCCAGACCGCCAGCGATATTGAGCGGTTCTGGGTTCTATTCCACTGGATTCAGCTTGAATGTCGTCGTCAGCAAACACACAAACCAACCACCGAGGACTCCCCATGGGGGTTTCTGAGGGCGGTTCAGAACGGGACGAGGTCACACGCAGAGCTGTACAAGAAATTATGCAGGCAAAGATTCTTTTGATTTTCTTAAATTCCGGGACGGAAGTATTGTTTGGGGGTGGATTAGCTGCGGGTTTGTCTGTCTGTCTGTCTGTTCGTAGATGGACTGTACGTGGATGGGGAAGACTGGTAGACATAATGACAGAGGTCAATAGGTATATAACGTAATTAAGGGAAACCTTTTTAGAAAGTAAACATTGCACTGACCGCATCAATACAAAAATGTAGCCATAGACAAGGCATACCCCATACAACCACAACACGCTACTACCTAAATGCCATTAATTTGTTCTCCCCTTTCCTCCATACTCCAGGACAGCCGGTTTAAGGTGTAAAACCGTGACTGGCCTTTGCAAGTCCATCGGCGACACATCTTTTGAAGCATCTGTGAATGAAGGTACATACAAGTCATCGTGGAATGAGGTAACCATAAATGGAAGACGCTCATTGGTGGACTGTAGACTCGAACTAGACTTTGAGCAAATTCGAATCCCGCCATTTTACTTCTTGGCCCAGCCGACCCATTTTGCCGCCGCACACTATCCCGACAACAAGTCATATCAGCTGCTAGAGGTGAACGTCACATTGGAACAGTTTCAAGGTCACGTCGCCTGTTTTCCCGCCTTTTTTGACCTAGACAAAGATTCGATAGAGCACCATTCAGCGGACGTCAGAACAAACGACGGTGTAGCTGTTCTGAAGTTCGGAGCTAACAAACCGGTGAAATGCTGCCTCCAGACCTTGAACAGAATCACAGTTCAAAGGAAATTCGACCTCAGCAGACATATAAAAACAGAATCAAAGGCTTCTCTAGATAGCCCAACGGTGACCGTTGTCGTTAGACCGCCATTTGCCGGGCGGTTTAGTCTGAAGGTTTCGGTACAAGATGAAAAGAGTGACACATCACTGCCAGTGTGTATGTACACTATAGTGTGCGGAGAGACAGCCGCAGACTGCTCGCCATTTGAAAATGACACAGCTGAGTCCCATCAAAGGAAAAAGAAAAACCGCACCTCGACAAGTTCACAAGATGGGCGGCACCAACCGGCCAAGCCAAACAGGCCGTCCTCAATCAGTTGGTCGGACGAACCAGTGACATCCCCGCAGGGAAGTCGATCTGTAAGAAAGAGACCACATAAAGACGAACATTCCGAAGTAGTGTCAGGAGTTTCTCGGGGCGAAAACGCGCCCTCCGTACAGATAGACGCTGACTACCCGAAAACGTACAAGGCATGGACGGGACACTGCGTCCTACACAGACCTAGAGCGAGGTCGCTGTCGAAGGGCGCTTTGGTCAAGTTCAAACTTGCAGTACCGCACATGACTCGCATGGTGGTGCTTCTGCCTCACTCTGAGGATGGCCATGGTTACAAGACAGTTTCGTTGAAGTCTAGAGATGGAGGAACCACGTGGAAGGGGAAGGCTATGATTCCTGACAGGAACGACGCGGAAAGACGTTACGTGTTTGTGGTGGGGACGCCCAAAGACACAAACGAGGGGCAATACCTACTGGAGTACGATATAGGTGAGTCTGAACAAAAGCCATAGGGTGGGCGGGTCAATACTATTAGGGCAACCAACTCAAATGTTCGTTTATGAACCAAACTTTAATGAGCTCTACCAACATGTTACCTTTGTTCTTGTCACAGGAGACAGGAACCCTCCGGAGGGGGAGTCTATGGAGGATCACGGCAGCGTCGATCTGAGTTAGTAAAAACAGAGTTTCAGAATCATTGGCACTTTTATGGCCCGGTCACTTGATACTTCACACGATCGTCGTCCGATTGCATTTGTCCTGCATGACGTATGCACAGTCATACGTATGCCCTGCAAAATCTAGCTGTCCTGTTACGGAACGGCTATCTTAGATCCTTGCCGCCGGTTGGTTCTGTCACGGCCTGCTTGAAAACGACTATCTACGATAAATGTGACCGCGCCGTTAGTGAAAACATGTACTAGTGTACTGTAATAATGACACACAAACAAACAAACAGACAAACAAATCCACAGAACAGCCACTCAAAACAATAACAACGTTACTTCCGTACCCGGAAGTAATAAGCTTACGTCCCATAAGTGTAGAACTTGGGACTGCCCTGTCACGCCACACCTACATTACTCTTTTCTGATATGGTATATAATTAGGTACTAGACTTTGTACTTGGTACGCCACTTATATACACTATATAAGTTAGTATATACTATCCCCCTTTCTACTGGACGGTCACGGATGGCTGAACGACCAAAGTTGTAATTCTCTGACCTTTGATTTTACAATAGGAATATGATGCCAGATCGGTAGGGAACAATTTAAGACAACAAAACACACAAAACTTGAAATTCGCTCTTTGTGTATGAAATTCGTTGATCGATTTGTCAAACTTTCCGCAATTCCGGTCGCTCAGCAGTCATAGCTAGCCTGTAGTGGAAAGGGCGTTATCTTGTTTTGTAGCAATGACTATGTGTATATGTTCTAAGAGAATCATTTCAACCTCAGAACTAGATGACCTGCAAGATTCCCGCCTTAAGCCCCTCCCGGACGGTTTCACCTATCACGTCATGATCAGCTATTCATGGGCGCAGCAGGAGGTCATTCTCATGGTCAAAGAACACCTCAACAAAGATGGCTACAGGGTAAGTTAAGAGTACGTACATGGCTTGGTACATACTGGATGTAACTTTATTTTAGGCACAAGCGGATGCCGTGTGCAGGAAAATGAGTATCTTTTCAGCGATATGGTCATGCCTTCAAGTACAAGAATTTTCGTTTTCCCCCTAGAATTATCGTACAGTAGAACCAGCACACAAGGAGCAACTTCACCAGATAGCTTTAGATAACCGTTTTGCACTTATCGAGAAGAGTTGTCCATCCCAGTGTAGATCAAACCTTACAGTCTGGTCTTATGCAACTTGTACTTATTGTACAAAACTGGGGTGTTTCGCTTAAAGGCGGTTTACCGATTATGCAAAACCAACCCACTTACAAACACATGTTGTTACAGGTGTGGCTAGACAAGGACGAGATGAGCGGGACGATGCTGGAGTCCATGGCCCGGGGGGTCAGGTCGTCTGCCATCGTCATCATCGCCGTTTCCGAGGACTACGTCGCCAGTGACAACTGCAAAAGAGGTACAACATTTATAGCGCCTTTTCCTTATTCGAGACCTTGCTGTTCTTCACCTCCTCCCATTCGTTCAAAGTACATAAAAACATCACCATTATTGAACAAACTAACGTCTTCAAATCATCAATCTTAATGATTTACGGTGTACGTTCGTTTAATAGCCCCTGTCACACAGTCAGGGCCTCCCGAATGTACAATTTGTTGATTATCACCTTTACAAATGTATTTGTCATGTATGCTTTGAGTAATTATAACCAGTCAATTTGATGATGTTTTGAAATAAGCGTCGTTTTGTTCTGTATTCCTTTGCGTACAGAAGCCAACTTTGCCCGGGATAAAAAGAGAGAAATCATCCCTTTGAAGATGACGACGTACTATCCCGACAACTGGCTGGGCATGCTGATCTCTGGGAAGTATTACGTCGACTTCTCTTCGCCTGGACCTCTCAGTGATAAACTCAAGGACTTGGAGTTCCAGATTGAGGACAGGTTGAAAAAAATTGGTTCGATGAACTATGAAGTATCATGAAAAAAATCTTCATTGACAGAAAAAAAAGTACAGCGACTTTCGAAGTCTCTTCTACAATCAAACAAACAAACAAGCATATACACAAGAACTTACATAGAAGTACTGGTATATGGTTAAATCAACATGTTGGGTTTGACGAGTATATCGTACAACGACTGTATAGTTATGTACATTCTTTGATTCATTTTCCTATTTGCCACAGTAATTGTTATCTCCTCCTAGAATGTACTTGAATTTATTTATAGGATGGAATGTATTAAATTCTTTTGAAAAAGCGGAAAGAAATGTTAACGCACAGCTTTGAATGTTAACGTTTATCATCAGAGTGGCATTCATCTTATTCAGACAGGAGTATGATACGTTTTTTTATTTTATTCACATGGATTTTTGAGCATTGGATAGGAAGCACTTGTTGTGCTTATGTAAATCCGCTGCTCATAAAACATAATATAAATGTAAACATAAAGATGACATAAAGTATAGCATTAACATAAAATGAAAGTGGCTGGCGCACCAATACCTAGCATAACATTATTGAGATTGGTCAAATCTTCCAGAGTGGTGGATATAGTTAAACACAATATCAAAGATACGGCAGTTGGTAGGGTAAGGGAGGCTGGGGCTACCTGTAAGAAGTAAAGTACATAATGTGGCGTCATTTGCGTTGAGTGGGTCACGTTACGACACGTCCAGTCCTTTTGTAGAAGTTGCACAACTCAACGGTAACGGCTTTTAAAGTAACCATGGTTAGGGTTAGATGCTCTGTGAAGAATGTTATCACTAGCTATTATATGTTGTTGCTCTATTTCACAACGACTCCATCATTGTGCGATGTGCAGTGACCGAATCTGAGCTAGGCAACTCACACGAGGTCACAGCGCTAGCTTACAGGTACCTGACTTCAGTTGGGAGGTAATATAGAAGGCGTTGGAAGGAGAGGGGCGGGCTCCATCTGTTTGCACATGTTTGCACTCTTTAGCTATAGTAACGTTACATTTTCCTTATAATGATCAATAAATTCCGAACAATATTTGAGTATAAAGACTATTAACCCTACCTTTAATAGCGTTAGCTGCTGGTGCTCTTTCTTATGAATGGAAGCTTCAATTCCTATAAGCTAGGAACGTGGTAATGTCACTTAGTTATCATATATCAAGAAAAGGGTGAAACAGGAACGAGAACATTAAGACAGAGAAAAAGTATGTTCGACGGGCCGTAGTAGTCCGCAATCGAAGACTCTTGTCATTACCACTCACTCACTCACGCTCACTCACGAATAAATAGCCAGTCGACAGCGCCTCCTGGCGGTTTTACCTGAATATACAAGGGCGCATTTTTGCAACATGGCCAGGCGGTGCATATTTTGCACCATTGCTCGTGGAGAAGAGCCCAAGACAACGCTTCTTCATGAGGTAAGTGACACAGAGCATTTTATATCAAGGATAAGAAATAAGTAGCTACTGGTCCCTGCGCACTGCATATGAGGATGTATTGTTATATTAGATGTCAGTGCCCACTGAGCTAAATGGGGGAGGGGGGCGTTACCTTTTACTTGTCATGATGTGGTCTAGGATTAAATATGTTGGCTTTAATACTAAACCTTTCTGGTGCGGTCACTATAACAAATTCATCAAGGTCAAATCGCATGGTTTTCTCTTTATTAATGATACACAATCACCGAATGTCACACAACCATGATACATAACCAAGGACATTGATCAGATACTAAAAGACGTGACAATAGCACCCAGATTGTTCAGATATTGATACTTCAGTATTATTTTGTGTGGCTGCTTTGTGGGTTTGTGTCTCTACTTGTCCTAACAACAATGGATGGATGGTGGGTGGGAGTTGATTTGGGCAGTAGATTGATAGGGATCTATATGTAATACCTGAAGTTGATGCAGCATGCCCAGGTGGGAGTGACTGGGTACTTGTGGATCAATAAATGAATCTGGAAGTGGTGTAACACCCGACCAAATTAGATCTCATCATACAATTGCCTCCACAGTTCCAATATAAAATTCAGGAAAACCCTGTACACTTCCCAGAGGCCATGAAATCCAATATGTACTTCCTGGAAAATTTTGACTCATATGGTATGCTTTCCAAGCAAGCTGTGAAAGAAAACATTTCTCACTGAGATAAATTGGTCTACCTCAACCTGTAACATCCGTGTCCATAATATCACCAGGGTCCATAATATCGCCACCTTGAAAAATAGTGTGCTTTAAGATATTTTTACTGCTACATACTTTTGGTATGCACTCCTGCACACCTCAAATGTACATACCTAGGGTATGTTGCAGTAAAAATATCTTTAAGCACACTTTTTCTCAAGGTGGCGGTATTATGGACTATGGTGATATTATGGACACAGATGTTATACATGGTGAGAACATTTCTGCTACAATATGATGTAGGGTTGTGAAACATTCTCACATTATGTGAGGACTTTGTGACCACATTAGACAGCATTCTACTAAGATATACATATGAAAGCTTTAGGTATATGCTGCAATGCAATATTTAGTAGGATTATATGTACTATCACATTGAAAAGTCACATTCATCGTACCATTTTGTTGTAGGATTTTCAGCAAGGTTATTCCATGGCAACCTTTTCTGTCATGAAACAGCTGGACACACAGGTTACTAAATATAGATACTTCAGAGTAAAATATAACATGTCTGTCTTCCACTCTTCAGGATGAGAGATTTGTGGCATTCCAAGACAGGAGTCCAGGAGCTCCCCACCACTACCTCATCATCCCCAAGGAACACATAGGAAACCCTGCAACTCTCACTAATAAAGATATACCATTAGGTGGGTTCATAAAACTAACTAAGGAAGACCTCAGGTTTGATATAGTCATACATCAAGTTACAATGTATACATATCAAGTGCAGCCTGTTGAGATTAATTTTCGCAAAATGCTTGCAATAACTTGAAAGGTCTGCATCAAACAGCCCACACCAGGGAGTTTTTACGGTGTGAGTTTAATGACTTGGGACAGCAGTAATCAGAAAGGTGGGCTGGAAAGATAGGCTGTCAGAAAGAGGTGTGTGCTTAGTAGGACTGGGGCCCTACTAGTATTTAATAAAAGTCAGCCCAATTGTAGAATGGTTACCAATTTTGCTAGGCAGTGACCTATAATTAGTATGAATCAGTTTGTTATTTTATAGAATGTGGAGTTTAGATTTGTTGTGCCCATCACTCTTCTGTGTTGTGAATTGTGCAGTGATTTCCTGAGTTTCCACTAACTGTTGTTCACTTTCCAGTTGAGTCCCTGGCCGAGGTTGGGAACAAAGTCCTACAGGAGCAGGGAGGGAACATGGAGGACAAGAGGTCAGATCTTATGCAGGCTTTCTTGCTATTGTCACTGGACTGTATTATAACATTAGTACACAAAAATGCTAATGATTAAATTTTAATCTAATTTTTTGTATCACCCTTTAATGCTTAGGTCACCAATTCAAGAAAGGGGCCCGCTCGGCGCGTGTTCGGCGTGTTTTTTGGCACTACCGAACGGGACCTGGACGGAGACCGGCGGGCTTCCCGACGGCTGCCGGCCTATTTTTGGCCCCGCGCGGTCGCCGAATCGATTTTAACTCAGAGTTAAAATCACTTTGGGCCCCGTTCGGCGAAGTACGCCGAAGCGACGCCGTAACCTCACTGCCCGGGACCCGTCGGGCGGCCGAACAGGCACCTGCCTAAGATTATGACGTCACATGTGCTGATAAGTGCATAAGGTGGAGCCTAAAACCAGAACTGTGACCAACAAACTTGTAAGACGTGTATGTAGGCCCACCCCCGACTCATCACTACGGTACTTCGGCCAGTGGATAACCTCTTACCAATGGTCTGAAGTCTACAAGGCCCCTACCACAAGAGAAAAGTCTCAGGCAATGTACAGTACTCTGCAGTCCAAAATAAACGAATTCTTCCCCGTGAAATGCGTCCGGTTGCATCACCTTGACAAACCTTGGATGACACCGGCGATTAAATCCCTGCTAAATGCTCGTCAACAAGCCTACGCCAGCAATGACTTGACCACCTGGAAGAAATTAAGAAACAGAATACAACGAAAAATTAAGAAGGCAAAGAAAGTGCACTATGATGGTAAAATCAAATCACTAAAGAACGAAGACAATTGCACAATGGCACAAAGCAATCAAGGTGATGGCGAACATGTCCCGCGCTGATCCAGTCATCCATGTAAACGGAGTAAGCAACGGTGACCATAAAGCGACTACCAACGAAATCAACAAATCGCTCGCTGCCGTAATACAGTCCTTGCCTCCGATCGACATATCGCTGCTCCCACCGTACCTACCGTCGCTCCCGACCCCGTCGGTCACACCCTGGGACGTCTTAAATAGGCTCCGGAAAGTTAAAACGAGGAAAGCTGCTGGCCCTGACGGCATCCTGGGCAAACTAATCCGTGAGTTTGCGTATGAACTGAGTGGTCCCCTCTCAGATATCCTGAACTGTTCTCTCGCACAGGGGATCGTACCCGATGAGTGGAAAAGTGCGATCGTGGTACCGGTGCCCAAAACAAAGCCTCCCTCAATCGACCAAATTCGCCCAATATCTTTGACTTCCCTGTTAGCCAAAATCGCTGAAGGGTTCATCACTCAGTGGGCTCTTTCTGACATCTTACCACAAATCGACCCTCAGCAGTTTGGGTGTCTTAAAGGGAGGTCAACAACTCACTGCTTGCTCGACCTAACCGACAACTTATATAAGGCTTCAGACAAGCCGGGCACACTATGTTCATTGGTGTCTACTGATTATAGCAAAGCTTTCGATAGGGTAAGCCACACCACTGCTGTAACCCGTTTAATCGAACTGGGCCTGCGACCGTCACTTACAAGGTGGATTGCTGATTTCCTAACGGATAGACGCCAGGCAGTCAGATACCATGGAACCCTTTCAGACAGTGTCTCTATAACGTGTGGTTTACCCCAAGGAACCCTCCTTGGGCCCCTGATTTTTGTGGCCTACATTAATGGTGCAGCACGGCAGGCCACCGCCAAAAGGTGGAAATTTGTAGACGATTTAAATCTGCTTGAGTGTAGAAATCCCTCTTCAACACCTTCATCTCTGCAAACGGACCTGTCAGACCTAGATAAATGGTCCTGTGAAAACAGCATGCTCTTACACCCTGGAAAGTGTAAAGTCCTACATGTCAAGTTCAGTAGGTCGGTACCTATACCACCACCTCTCAAAATTAACAACAGAGATCTGCAACAGGTTGAAGTCATGAGGATTCTTGGTGTCTTCCTACAATCCAACCTCAAGTGGAATGCACACGTGGACTACATCTGCGCCAAATCCAGCCAACGCTTGTTCTTCCTCAGACGTCTCAAACACTTTCACCTGGACATCGAAGATCTCGTCTCTGTTTACACTACATACATCCGCCCGATCACCGAATATGCAACTCCGGTATGGCACTCTGGCCTTACAACGTCTCAGTCTGACAGAATTGAGAGGATCCAGCGCCGAGCTGTGCGTATTATCCTGGGACCGGACTACTCCAACTATGCTGAAGCCTGCTCACAGCTCGGTCTATCTACTCTCCACGAGCGGCGTGAGGAACTGACTCTTAAGTTTGCCAGATCCCTGCTAACATCTGGTCACTACCGTCACCTTTTGCCACCTCACAGACAGACTATCACTAGCCGTCAAACTCGTTTTTCTAATAATTTAGAACTCCAGCGCTGTAGAACAGAAAGATATAGAAACAGTGCTGTCCCATACATGACGCGCTTGATTAACTACTAGTCACACATATTGTTACATGACTTTGGTTTAGTTTTATAGATCCTTGTGCTGCTACTACTTGTAATATAGTGATTTTAATATGTTATATTTCCAAACCCTATTTTAAATATGATATGTCATTACTTTTATATGAATACTTGGCACGACTATATGTAACGAGTGATTTTAATCGTGATATCTCTACCTGTATTTTAATATGTTATTATGTCACTACCTGTTATATTAATGTTTACCAGTTCAATTCAGTGCGAGTTACTACTTACACTGCGAGACTGTAAATGTTTGTTGTGAAGCAACAATAATAAACCAATCTACTAAGGTGGTAAGGAAAATGGGGTTATATGTGGCATATGTAAACTCATTGTTCAGACTACGTCGGACAGTTCAACACGCGCGTGTTACACCGTGTACTTGTGTGTGTTACACCGTATACTTGTGTGTCAGAATGCCGAAGGGCAATGGAAAACAGCCGAGACGATAGCCCGGCATACATGTACTTCAGGAATGAACAGTGACATTGTGTTGCATGTGGGCTACCCTGAAAGCAAACTCCAGGGATCGGTAGCTGTTCCCCGTCGCCAGGAAGCGTGGGGTAATGGCGAGTTTTAGGCCTGCTGACAAGGGCTGTTTAGCACTGCATAGAATTAAACAGAAGTGTTACATACGGACTGAACTGTTATATCTAAATTATAAATAATCACGAATACATTGAAATGTGTCAAGAAGTAGATGGCATTTAAAGCACTGGCTCTGGACTTTTCTCGATGGGTGGACCTACACGTTGTTGGAGGTCGTGAAACATCAGTGGTTCCATTCGCAGGAAGGACTTAAAGTCGCAATGATGTTCGCGACAAAATTAAAGCTCCGTCATCAGTGTCCGTACACGACAGGAGCCCGTCGGGATCCCCCCTGGACCCCGCCAGGGACCTGGCAGCTGCCCGGCCGAACTGTAAGAGCCGGTCGGCACCCTACCACACGCCGCACGGGTCAAGACGGGAGACTGGCCGGGCACCGGACGGGTCCCTGACAGAAACCGGCCGCCAAGGGGACCAAAAGTTTATAAATATTAATTAGAAGACGCCTCAACACCGGCCGGAGTACAACCAGGCCCCGACAGGGAGCCGTAAAAGAACATTTAATTGTGACCCTGACAGGTCGGCGCACGCTCGGCGTCATGACACCGGCCGGCGTCTACGCCAAGGACATACCGAACGGGCGCCGCTTCAAATGTGACCTAAGCATAAAATTAGCTATTACCATTTAAAGTCTTACTATTTTAGTAATTTTTGTGTAAGAATGTATATTTCATTTATACTAATAAATTGCTTATGTTTATTTATTCATTTTGCTTGTGTTCCAATCCAGACTGGGCTTTCACTGGCCTCCGTTCAACAGCATCAACCACCTCCACCTGCATGTGTTGTCCCCCACCAGTCAGATGGGCTTCCTGTCCAGACTTATATACCGCCCTGCCTTCTATTTTGTGACGGTACGTTTGTCCTGCATACTTTTCTGTCACTTTTTCCATGGAGTCAACCTTTATCAACAACTTTTAATAGAAAACAATAAATCAAAATTCATACCATGAAATGTTTTCTTTTATCATTCATTATCTGATCTCTTGCTGATGCTGTCTAGTTTTCTCACTGACAGAAAGACAGGAAATAAGATTGGACCTCTGATATAACTTCCTGCCTCAGCATCCCTGGTATTCCTAGAATGGGGAAATAACTATGGAACAGAAGCAAACACAAAACCTCTGTACAAAAAAATTATGTCTAACAGAAAGCATAGTATACGATTGTGATGTTGAGTATGTGTAATAATAATATATGACTGTATCTTGTTTCTCATTTTGCAATAACAGGTAGACAGTCTGCTACAGAGACTACAGGCCATGCCTGTAGATCAGCCTGTAGCCCCTTCATCTACACCCCAACAACCACCTGCAACTAAACCTGAGGGAGAGCAGTGATAGCACAACATGTTTCCCTCTGTAGATAGGTAGTCATAACAATGTGGTAATTCATCCTTGGACTTCTTAAGAATTAGAACAAATACATGTAGAAGGAACCCCTGACAGATGCAGTGTGGTTGAGAATCTATAAACAGTAATTGTAATAATAACTTAATTGCAAATCTTTGCCTATAGGCTATTTGATGCAGTGTGATTGAGAATCTATCAACAGTAATTGTAATAATAACTTAATTGCAAATCTTTGCCTATAGGCTATTTGCAAGTGTTCATTATAAAGAAAGGTATATAATAAAGGTAAAGACATTGTAAAGGTATTGTGTCAACACTATCATATACAAATGTAGATTGTGTACAGTAATATTCCATCAGAATTTTAAAAAGTTTCTTCTCAGCAAGATAACAACACTAATAATGATTAGTGGTTTAAGTCTACTTCTAATTTTAAGTTTACTCTTTTAAATTAAGTCAATGTTAACTAGAATTGAGAACAGGCTAAAGCCCACAAGGTGAATGACATTTTGAAAAGTTGATACTAGTTTAACACCTGTTATGTTAATCCTTCCACAAATGTGTTCAATCTCAACAGATAAATAAAAAAATACAAATGTGTGGGAGTTACATGATTGTATGTCTTATGAATTTTAACTTTACCTTGTGGCATGTTCAGTGTTTACCCTCCTCTCCCTCTATCTGAAACCAATCCTGACTGTCCATCACAATTAGCAGTTCAACCAATGAAAGCATGGCAATTAGCTGGTTGACCAATGAGAGATGGCTACATGTCTATCAAATGTTTACATTTCTATGTGTGTACCTTTGAACACAATCCAATAAAGTATAGTGTATTTTGTATGCAAATTTGGTCAATTAAGTGGTGTTCCCCTTTTCAAGTTGCATAAAAAAGTGGATGAATAGCCTAATTTGTATTTCCCCCGCAACCTGCATATTTTTAGATAAATTTTTACTTCTTTTATATATATCTGTGCCCAAAGTACACATTACAAGTGGGAAAGTCCTATTATATAATTAAACACAAATTAAAGTATCACAGCATCTTATGGTAATTTAGCAAATTAGGTTCTAAGTTGCTTACTACACATTCATGTTCTTCTTTATATACTGTGAGTTACATATGATGTATGGATGAAATTAGCTTTAGGCCACACCAAGTAAATTTTATGGATGACGTCCTTTAGAGACCCTATATCTAATGCGAGAGGGCGAGAAAAAAAACAAGAAGGGCCCTAAAAAACAAGATTCCTAGATTAGAAATATACTAAGAGACGACAAATGTTAGGACACAAATTGAATGAGGTGACACAGATTAACAAGCAAGAAGTCTTTTATTCATCATCAAAACAGCACTGATAAATCAGGTGGAACAGCAGTTGTCGTCCTCTCCTGTTTCTTTCATCACATTTTTGCAGGCCTGCAGAAACAAAGCATGTGCTCTTTACCCATTTCGCGTTACGGGTTTCACGTCAATCTAACGATTTGGGGCACTGTCGTGACTCTTTGGTCATAGTTACAGGAAGCCGAATTTCTTGTTTTTTTTTCTAGGAACAGGCCAAAATCTATGCGCGCGCGGACGTCATCCATAAAATTTACTTGGTGTGGCCTTATATAGTTTTTCATTAATTTTACAACTGAGGTCCTAATTTGCATTACAGTATACATATCCCATTTTGTCACAAAAGTTCCATGTGTGAATTTCCCGCCATTCAAAATGAATTATGAATGTCTAACACCCACAATATTACACAGTCATTAATGTTCACATTATACAAGACCATTTGGTGCTTTCAGTGTGACAGTAATGTATGGATCATGCCACAAGAGACATTCAGTGAAAAATGAACAACAAACATCTTTTAGAAAAGCATTTGAAACCTCTCAGCCAAACTACCAGAGCGCACATCCCATCTCAAACCCATAAAATACTGCCTCTTATAAATCAGCCCCATCCGCGAGTTCCGACAAAGAAATCAGGAGGGTCTCATAGTGACCTGCTCGTCTGAAGGTAATGAACTGTTGGCGGGGCTGATCATGCATTCGTCATCCCTCCACATCACGGAAACCTGTAGTCGGTCCGTGCTGCATGATGGCGGGGTGTATATTTTGCAACATCGCCCGCGGAGAAGAGCCCATGACAACACTTCTGTACGAGGTTTGTGACATCTTATCACCCGTAACATGATAGAGATCTAGACGCCATTTATCAGATGTTTATGACGAAACAATATTCCTGAGGGGCGTGACGGGGCTTCTTGATGTATGATTAAGTTTAATGTTGTACAATCTTCACGGTGTAGTTCAGGGAATTTCACGGTTACCACAAAATGTCAGAAATCCCCCGGCTTTGAAATTAAGCAACCCCAACCCGCTAAAATCCGGCTCTCTGATTACACACATGATATAGATAATCCTTGACGATGGATAGCTAGCGATACGGGTATCATAACGCATACATCACTACGGTTCAGCATTTACAAACGACGGGGAAAATTCCCCCTCACTCAAATGATGACCTTGACTCTGCTCTGTCATTTCGATGTACGTAGCCCCACTATAGACAAGGGCATAGGATTTAATCGTTTTGTCTGATGTGTCTAATCATATGATGTTTTACTGGCATTGATTTTGGCTGACCAGACGTATTTTCATGGAGCAGCGCCATTCATTTGAGACATGACGTGGCTTGGCTATGTACATGTACGTGTACATGACTGTAATCTCCATCAAAGGAGGCTACTTTAGGGGCTGAAAATATAATACGGCCAAATACGGTGAATACCTGTAATTACGTAAAATAATTTCTGTGGGGCGAAATGATCTCTCCCTGACCAACAAACTCCTTTGGCAAAGTAATCACCTTATTTGGCAAATGTCTAACATTGAGTATATATTTTCTTCCCTAGAGTAAGTCCAGTTGAGGCTGGCGTGGGGGTAGTTTCAGAAAGCGCGCTTACATGCTATATCTCAATTTTAATGTGATGGCGAGGTCACAATCGTCGTACGATTTTGATGCTGTAGAATTATCAAGCATGCGCGGGCTGTGACAGAACCGACCGCCAATGATCAATGTCTTGTTCCTTACATTGTTAGATAGCTGAATTTTGTTGACACATGGATGACTATCCCAAAAATGCATTCATATTGCGATCGTACTGCGGTCGTACTACATTAATATGTGACCGGGCCCTAACAGTGTGCACATGTTTAATACTAACTATTCTTATTAGTACGGAAGTACAAAATGTATTGTTTGGGTGGCGCTGGTTTAGGGAACGTTTGTTTGTATTGAGTTGGTAGAAATTGGGTTTCAGTTGATTGACAGGGTTGTGACCCGGTATGTCATGGGTGGCACGATGTGCTATTAGGGCGTCAGGAACGTGTACTGTGTAATACTAGTATTATTAACCATGGTATGACACATGAACCATAGTGTAATACAGGACTGGTGAGCTACGTAAGTTATACAATCGTCTGAGGTATAATCCATTCTATGATGTAATTCAATCGGGTATTTCCCCATGAACATACAATACATACCCAGAGGTCTTAAAGCTCCGATGTGTTGTTTCTCTACAGGATGAGAAATTCGTGGCGTTTCGAGACCAGCGGCCGGGAGCTCCCCACCATTACCTGATCATCCCCAAGATTCACGTCCCCAACCCTTCAACCCTGACCAATAAAGACATTCCACTAGGTGGGTTTCTAACGGATGGAGCAGTATCCGTTTTTTAAAACTAAATTTTGTAACATACTGTCAATAAGATTTTTTGCACTATTGACAGGGTATTTTTCTCCATCTCAGTTGAGTCCCTGGCCGAGGTTGGGAACAAAGTCCTACAGGAGCAGGGAGGGAACATGGAGGACAAGAGGTCAGATCTGACTCTTCACTGAAATTTCTTGAAACCGTGTTGCATGTGTAATACGTCTGTAATATGGACGATAGACTTTACGCAATTGGATGGTAACAACTGAAGTGTAGATAATAACTCTTGAAGTTGAACATGTTTCAGAATGGGCTTCCACTATCCCCCATTCAACACCGTGGACCACCTCTGTCTGCACGTGCTGTCTCCAGCCAGTCAGATGAGCTTCCTGTCCAGCACCATATACAGCACCACCTTCTGGTTTATGACGGTGTGTTGGTTCACTATGTCATGGTGTCAGTTGATTCAACTTACAGTGTTTGGTTGTGTGTCCGTAGTTAGTGGGGGTGATGTGGTAACACCACAGAGGGGAGTGGAAGCATTTCAACTAGACAGAAGTGACAGAAAAATAGAGTTCATAGGTGATAATTTGTCTTCAAGTTGTGTATATTATATTATATGGTTACGGTTACGTATTATGCTGTAGACCTATGAAATCCAAAATCTTTTATCAATAACATTTTAATAACTAGGTAGAGATTGCTCCCAAATATTTAGAGAAATCAGTACCAGTGTATGTGAATGTTATATTGTATGCCCTCTTACAGGTAGAGAAAATACTGGAGAAGCTGGAGGCAATGCCACCAGGCCAGTAGATCTTCATCCACATCCCAGAAACATCTGGAAACTAAACCTGGGAATAGCAGTACTTGTAGTATAACCAAGAACAGTGATCTAGCCTCTCAGTTTTAGTTTTGCTAAAAAAAAAAAAACTTTCCTACTTCGTTGCTGACTTGAAATTTGGAAAAAGACAAAAGTTGTGAGCTGAAGACAAATGCCTTGCCATTAAAAAGGATCGACAACTATATTATCATCAATAAATAAAATATATAAAATCTGAAAGTTTATTTTTTCTCAGGAAAGTAGTTGCATGTACACGATTAGTTGATGTCAACTAGAATGTACTAAGTACAGGTAAGGCTTATGATGTTTGTAAATAACTGTACGATCAGAAGCAAAACTGTTAAGTGTTTCTGTTAATCTCTGAGTAATCAATATGTAGCTTGTCAGCTAAATGTAGGCCTAGAAAAATTTGATAAACCTTAGACAAATTATACAGTTACATTGTGTCAACATCTAGACGTGGCTTGTTTTTTCTTTCATACTGTAAAATGATTTTGAAAAACTGTATCCCTGACATGCTTATAGAAATGACCATTAAAGCGGGTCTATAGCAAACATATTGAAGTCGTGTTTCGCTTTTATTCCGATTTCATATTGTAAAACACATGTAGACATACTGTAAAGGCACTTCTCAGTCGTCATCCTCATCATCAAACAAAGCATTCATCCTCCTCTCTTCCTCATCTTCCTCTCCTCCCATCTCACTGGCATCATTGCACAATCCTGGTTTTCTGTCCTGTAGACCGTTCCGTAAGTCATTGTAACTTCCTGTCAGATTGCAACTACTCTTCTGATTTTCGTTGGAGCTTCTTTCCTTTCCATGAGTTGTGGAAGAAACAGCAGCCAAAGCTCCATTAGTTTGAATTACTACACTGTTTTCCTGAGTCCTGGTGGATGCTGCTGCTGAGGTCTTGTTGGTGTTTCCACCCTGTAGCCAACTGGACAGAGTAGTTGGCGCACTTTGGGTAGAGCTGCTTCCAAGATGCCTGCCACCTTTTATCAAATAGAAAACACTTACGATATATATCTCTGTGATGCCAGTCAATGTAAGTCTATCTGATAATTTAACACTCACAAATGTAAGATGATATGGAAATAATTATTGAAACACAGACACAACATGAAACGAAACCTCTGTACAATTAGGTAACAACAGGACCTGTACCTTTATTAAGGTGGGTAGTGCTGTCCAGCTGAGATGACCCTCCAGAGGCAGACATGCCTGCAGTGCTGCTCTGTGCATCTCCTGTGTTCAGCCTTCTCTTCTTGGTGACCTGCGCCGAGTCTTTGTGTTCTTGTAGACACTTCCTGGACACACTGTGCTCAGGTTTGTAACCACAGCCTGGGAAATATTGGTTTATGTACGAGGGAACCATCACAGGCACTCAGAAGAAATCTCAAAAAGATCTCACTGACATATAACTCCTTGAAATACCCAGGTATTTATGGTTGTCATGAATTTCTTGTTTTATTAATCATGAGAATTCTTGCTGATTCTACCTAATATGCACTTTTCCCCTTGCCTCCATAAGGCAACGGATGTCTAGCACATGGATAGAACTTACTGCAACACAAGCAGACATACAAACAGACAGTGAATGAAAACAAAACCTCCATACATGGAGGTAAATAAAGACAATCAAATGTCCAAGTCAACTGCAGATGTTTTTGCTAAATGTTCCTACATCAACTTGTTAAGATATATCACTAACCTTGTCCAGTAATGTCCTGGCAGGTCTGATCAAACCTTTTCTTGTGATGTGGTCGCACAAACTTGTAGAATTCTGCAGAGGATAGGAGACACGAGACAAGTATAGAATTAAGGCATGAAATTGAAAATCTCAAATTACTACCATTAACATGACACCAAGCAACATATATTGATTTATTTTGTTTATTTGTTTATTTGAATTCACCACAAGATATACAAGTGGAAGGGAGGACAGAACAGGTGCATTGACACCTCTACAAGGTGTCCTCCCAAGCACAACATACAGAATATAAAAACAGATTACCTTGCACTGGAGTTTTTTGCAAAATGTACAGGCTGTTGTCCTAAAGTCAACTGTTTTACATTTAGACTATATCTACCTTTCTTCAGTCCACAAACTTTAGATGTTTTAAAGCAACATTTACATCTCTGATACTATCGATGTGTCCAATAGAAGGAACATCTCACCTCTGAAGAGATGGATTGTAGAAACATCTTCTGTAAACAAGTCAGCCAGATTAGTCACCATGGTGTTGAAATCATCAGTCTGGAAAGAAAAAATACTTTTAGTAATCGGGGAGCTGACTTGAGCTCTTACATGTACCTTCTCAAGGGCTCAGTCACGTACATGTACATGTACATTGTATGATCAATGTAGTATGATTAAAAAATCTAAGGGCATTATTGGGATAATCCTGCAAAGTTCAGCTGTGTTGTTATTGAAAAGGCTGTCTTAGACCATTGTAAGTGTTTTTTTTCACAGCCTGTTTGAAAATTCTACAGCATCTAAATTGTACAATGGCCTACAACAAAAGTGACTGCAGTTGAATGGGCCACCAGGGTACACTTCCCTTTTGTTCCGCTAGGTGGAATTTATTCGAATTAAATCAGAATGAACAGTAGGAATATAAACATGCATGAAGGAAGCTTAGCATTTTTATACATGTACCTTCTTGTAGTCTCCCAACATCTTCTGAAAGAGCTTAAACTTCTCTATACTGAGAACACGTCGAACCTGGAAAAAATAAGAGCTTCTTAGCAGCAGTCAAAATATCCATGCAAGTTGTGACAGGTAAATGATTTTCTTCTCATGTAATCACAAATACTAATGAACTGCAGTGAAGAGTAAAAAGCATTGACATCCTACAATTATATGTACTTCCAGTCATAGATCATATAGGGAATATAACATTGTTTATTCCATATCACCAAATAAAGGTACAAGCCTGACCACAGGAGGAGTCATTTACGTCATACAAGTCCCTGTGAGTGTGATACAAAATTGTTTTCACTTGCTTGTACTTGTGTGATGAGCAAAACAAATCTACCTCAGCCAGGTACTTCTCAGCAGGCATCAGCATGGGTTTCTTGTCAGTGGGCTTGTCTCTTGGTTTCTCACTTGGCTGTGCCTTCTGAGGCTGGGAGAGAAAACATACATCCATGTACATTGATGTCTGACTTTGCAAATGAAACTGTCTGAAGGAGAAACCAGCTAATTATAAGGATGACCATGTTTGACATAATAATAGAGTATTAAGTTACCATTAGATGATCAAATTGTAATAATACTCTGGAGGAGCTCTGTTTTGTGGACCAATATATGAGTCGCAAGTTGAACTAAGGTCTGAGGCATTATCTGAGAAAAACAAGATCAAAAGGATGATGCCCAATCCAAGTACTCTGTTGACATTCAGATCTCTTACCTTCACAATTCTAATTCTTTTCCTCATCGGTTTTGCCATGGGTCTTGCTGATGAACTGGAGTCCTGATTATCAACATGAAAAAAGGCTACTGAATGTTTAAACTATCCATATTATTGAATAATTGTACTGCACAATAGACATGTAATCAAGAGCAAACCAATGAGGTATAAACAGTTCTACCCCACCATTACAAACACGTAGCTGAAGCATGCAGCTCAAGTCATGTCACCTAAACTATTCTCTTGTTACAGTAGTCTTGCAGCAAGACAAATTACACAATTAGGCTTCTTAGATGAAAGTACACAATGTACATGTACAATGTATCTGTACCTGACTGTTGAGAAAGTCTGTCCACATGTCATCTTCAACTTCTTCTTCCTTCCTGTCCTGTTGAAAGAAAATGGCAAGTTTAAATGTGTATTTACTGTCACTGACCGTGTGTGATACACAGGCAAGTCACAAAGGACTTGTTACAACATACCAATACCATGATTTGCACTAGGCATTTCGTCGGTCTTACAAGACCATGAAATACATAATATATATCATACATCTGAGACTCTGATAATTGAGAAATGATATTCTAGTCATCATCCTAGATATAATCAATACACAAATGACAAATGACATTCTTATCATTTATTTATTTATTGAAAATGCAACAGGACATTACACTGACTCTCAAGGCAGCAAAGCTGATATTAGAGAGTCAACATATAAGGACAAAACACAAAAAGCACATAATTTCAATACAATATGAAATACAAGAACAATCATAACCTAAACTAACCTGTATCAATCTAATTAATTAAGTACATATATATACATAATGAAAATAATGCATTTGGAGGTCAGAGGTCCAGAAAAAATATATATATACAGTACTACCTCATAAGAGAAAATTGGTACATAAATAACAAGGCTAGGAGGAACAGCTGGAAGTGCCTAGAAACGGTTTGTTGAAGTGATGTAGGTGTGGAAGGCATGTGAAAGGCTTTTGTTTAGTGTAATGTCATTGCCTGGGGACCCGTTGAGTAGAACACTGGTGGAGAGGGGCCGTCTCACGAGGCGGTACACAGCTGTGGCAAGGTCTTGTCGCGCGGCTGCGTGCAGGGGGCAGTGCAGGAGGAAGTGTGCGACTGTTTCCGAGGTCGCACCACAAGCACATCCCCGGCCGGTGAGGTTGAACTTGGCCAGCGTGGAGTTAAGCTGGCACCAGCCAATGCGGAGTCTCGTGGCAAGTATGTTGCTGCGGCGGTCACCAAGCCTACGGTACTCCTGGTGATGACGAACTGACAACATGTGGGCTCTACACCTCTGTTTGAACTGGAGGAGGGATGTGGCCTCCTTAACTCCCTTTGGAAGGTTGTTCCAGAGACGTGTTGTATATGGAACAAAGCTGCTTCCGTAGGTGTTTGTTCTACAGTAAGGAACGTGCAGATGTGCATCGTTCCGTAGGCGGAGATTCAGTTGTCTTCGGCTGTCTCTGGTGGTGGGAATTAAGAGCTGGAGGTGGGATGGGACAGAACCTGATACCAGTTTGTACATAATCAGTAGTCTGTTAAAGTCTCTTCTGGTTGCGAGACTATCCCACTCAAGTTCTTCCAGGAGTTTGCCATGAGGCGTGCGTGCCATTGCACCTGAGACGAGGCGCCCCGCGTGGTACTGGACTTGCTCAAGAGATTTGGCTGCCGTCGTGCTGATGTTGCTGAGGAGGACGGACGCGTATTCCAGCTTGGTGCGGACGAGAGTGTTCTACGCGATCTCCATGGCTTCACGAGGTAGCTTGCTTTGGAGTTTGCCCAGCAGCCCTAGTACTTGCCTCGACTTGCGGCAGACCACTTCTGAGTGTTCCTTCCAGCGAAGTGTATAGTGTATTGTAACACCTAGGTGTGTGTAGCAGGTCACCTCTTCAACGCGCTGGCCTGCTATGTAGATAGGTGGTAGTTTCACTTTACTTTGGAGTGTCCTGATACACATGACTTTGCATTTGTCGGGGTGCAGCTGCAACCCCCAGTCATGGAACCAGTTGGAGACAATACACAGGTCAGCGTTGGTCGTGTTGGCCACTTCAACGGCTGTGCGTCCGGAGTTATACAAAGAGGTATCGTCCGCAAAGCAATTGATGCTGGATTTGCTGGGTAACTCTTGGATGTCATTTAGATATATCAGAAACAACAAAGGCCCAAGGATGCTCCCCTGCGGTACGCCAGCTGTTGTAGAACCCCAAGAAGAAGCCACACCGTTGATGACCACGCGTTGTTGGCGGTTTGATAAGTAGCCAGAGAACCAGTTACAGAGTGGGCCGCTGATTCCGTATCGGGATAGTTTATAGATCAGGCCGTCGTGCCATACGGTGTCAAAGGCACGTCTCACGTCCAGGAACACCGCAGCAGTGCAGGCAACGTTGGGGTCATCTATCGACTTTCCCCAGTCGTCGATTAGACGGAGAAGTTGAAGAACGGTTCCGTCCCCCTTCCTAAAGCCAGACTGTTTGTGGTTCAGGAGGTTGTTGTCCGTAAGATACTTGTAGAGCCTGTTGTGCACAAGCCTCTCAAGACATTCTTATCATACATATGTTCAATAAGCAGCAGCTACCATATGCATGCATGCTGACAAAAAATCTAAGTATGCTATGTCATAGATTCCAAAATTGTCATATGAATATTGTGTAATTGTCTGACCTCCACTTCCTTCAGTGCATCGAACAGTCCTGTGCTGGACACAGGTCTCTTGGTTTGTTGCCCCAGGTTCATGTGATGTGTATCCAACTTTCAGTTTGTCAAAGGACCTCGGTTCTAGGAAGAGAATCAATAGAATTATGATAGAGTAGATGTCTCCAATTATTTATCTACCTGGCCACCAATTTAATTATTACATCCATGTATGAAGGTTTTGTTGTCAGTGTGTCTGTATGTTTGCTTGTGTTTCCATAGTTTTTTTCCATATGCAAGGCACATCAGAGACACTGACAGGAAGTTATCTTCTTGTTAGCTATTGTGCAACCTTTTCCAGGATCTTCCATTGAAGTTTATAGTCTGATAGTTTGATTGAGGAACAAGCTCACCTGGGCTGCGCCTTAAGCTGGGCACGTGGGAGTCGATCCTACGTGCCTCCTGACAGCTGTTCCTGCAGCTGGCACCTGAGACACCTGCTGTGACTCGGCTGTGGCTGGGTTGGAAGCTGGCAGTCGTGACTGGTACTTTGGTCTTGTTTTTGGCTGCAGGTTGAGGGAGCTGACGAGGGGAATGTGTTATGTCAGTTATAGGGTGCAATAGTCTAACGAACTGTTGTATCTTTTAGTGCTGAAGAACATTTACTCCCTCCCTGTTAAAATATATTCACCCTGGAGTTTCTGTCCTGAGTGCTGAATGACAATCACACTAACAAGGCCATATTTCTGCCAAAGGATACCATCTAGACAGACACCTCTGTCCTTGGTACTGAATTACATTCACAACTACAATAATGGTATGTCTGCCTACAATATCAAATACCCTAACAACACTGCTATGTATCTAACTTTGATGACTATGGTTCAACTACCTGGGCGCATTAAAAGACTGGTAAAAGGCAATATGTTGTACCCCTGTTGAAACAGATAGACTGAACCTGATTTATGATAGCCATAGCAACAGCTTTGTCTCTAAAACTGAACAATATTTCCACCAGCCAGTGTCTGTCCCTGGTGCTGAATGACCTTCGCATCAGTTAGGCAGCTTCTCAATGATAGCTGAGACAATACAATTACTCTGACAATGCTTTCTTTCATGCCATAGACAGAGTAGTAACCCTGTCCTTGGTGCTGAACAGTATTCACACAATACTACTCAAGTCTCCAGTGGTTAATATGATTTTCAATTTGACATTGCTCTCACTAATTAGGGAGCATATTTCACCTGCGCTAACCTTTCTGTCTTGTCACTGAATACCAATCTCCTTAGCCATTGTTGTTCAGAGTTTAATGACAATATTACTGATGCTTTACTGCATCCCAAGTGCCCTTCCTTTGTAGCATAATGTGATTATAAAACTTTTGTTGCATTGTCTACTGAATACATATGAGTATATCCACTACAAGAGCCAATCATATTGAATAAATTCAATGGTGCTTTTCCAAGCCTGTAGTGCTGGTGAAAATCACTAGATGGAGCTTACTGTTCTGTCTGCAGTTTTGAAGAAACTGGTGAGATCTTTGATAGCCTGACCAAAGGTGTTGTAAGTAGTGGCGTAGGGCCGGACCCAAGAAGGGAGCTGAGCTCGGGCATCAGCATATGTAAATCTAGGAAGAGGAAAAATATCAACAGTAAGACACACATATGTTTGTCTAATTGTTACTTCCTGAATGTTATGTGTTGGAAGTCATATTAGCAGTACTAGTGACAACACTCAATGGCTAACTACTTTGTCAACTAAACTTTACATAATTGAGAAAACCAAAGAATCCAAATTGAATACAGTATACTATAATATAATCTAATCATTACCACTGTAACTTGTTGAGATTCTTCTTAGCATAACAGTAATAGTATAGAAGGTAATTTCTAATGATCAATTACAACAGGATTTGATACTGTTGGCTGAAGAATTTTTCACAAGGGTGACATTGTGACACCTCACCGATGGTCACACAGGAGGATGGCACCATAGTCCAGCCTGTGTCTGATGACTCGCCCGATGGCCTGGTTCACAGCCCGGGAGGCCTGCTGCCTGTACCACTGACGACCTGTCAAGCCCTGCAGGGTTCACACAACTTAGGAAAAATCAGCTCTCCAAGCTAAGAACATTTACGTATGTGCACAAATTACAATGCATCTGTTTTAGAAGTGTAGGCTATACTAAACCCAACAGTACAAATTGAATGACTCTATAACAGTTCTTTATTCACAACCAAAGGGGTTTACAAGCCAACATTTCTGTGACCATCTGTCACCTTCCTCAGGGCAATACTAACTGGTTCTACTAATACTATATGAGGAAGGTGACAGACGGTCACAGAAATGTACGCTTGTAAACTAATTCAGTTGTGAATAAAGAACTTTGTTCCACAGTCATTTGCAAACCTCATGAAATCATTTCCATTGACTTGCTCACAAAATAGTATAGACTGTGACAATGTGTGAAAGTTCAGTTGTTACATAAAAATCACCTTGCTAGGTTCAAATGTTATATATTTTGATCTAGAATGAGATTGCCCTTGGTTGTGAGGTCTGACCTTGGCGGCATTCTTTCCTTCGTCCAGGAAGGCCATCTTGAGCACGACCTTGGGGTCCATCCTGGGCGGGAAGGGCAGTCCTGTGATGACCACTGCTCGGCCATTGATGTCTGCAAAGTCCAGCCCCTCACTTACCTAAGACAAAATATCGACTCAATGACCACAATTTCCAGTGGGAATATGCCTTCAACGGAGGGAGGGTTGACTGGCTCTGTAACAGCATTTTATTGATCTAAAAATCCATCTTGCTCTACGGAACACCAGCGGAATATCTGTCTGGACATACAGAGGACTAGCAATCAGAAGAAGGGGCAGTTATGTGTAAGAACAGATAGTTAAGGAGAGACAAGGACCAGATTGTAATTGCAGATAGGACATGTAATCTGAAAATGGATTTAAGCTAGTTTACCTATCTGCAACCTTAACATAGTAAATCAAAGCACAGAAACATCAATGAAGAAATGGAGAGGACATCAATGAAGAAATGGAGAGGTTGAGGGCAGGGATCAAGGTTTCCTTTATCACAGTAATTGTCTCCATGAGAACAAGTGAAAGGAAAATTTGACACATATTTATTACATTACACAGTTTAAAAACAGCAATTTTGTTGTGTGTATGCTGAAATGTAAATGTAAAGTAAACAGTGATTGTATAAATTCATGCTATTAATCAGAATGCCCCGGATGATATTTCTTTTCCTAAAAAGTGAACTGGTATCATAATAGATCTAGAAATGTACTGTTGTGTTAATAATCAGTGGCTTTTACCTTGCCCCTACACACGGCAAAGAAAGCTGCTCCATTTAAGGTTGGATCATTGATCTTGTCATAGAACTGCTCCATTGCCTGTGAATGAAGACAATTGGAATACAATGTACTATCTGCTTGGGGTGAAGAGTAGGAAATTCAGGTATGCCATGTACATACATGTATGCATTCCATACACTATGCAACATTATACATACTAAAGTCTTAGTCTTAGAGTGTATTGTAGCTCCTCAATAAGCCAGCTCACAGTTTGAACTACAAATGTGTGAGGTCAAAGGTGAAGGCCCATTACACATGTATGTTAACAGACTAGTCTTGTCTAGACCATGCTTGATACCATGACCTGATGTGTTTAGTTCCCAGGGCCATCAACTTTGACATGCTTCCCACAATGCAACACACTAGGCATTGGCAGCTGAACTAGCTGGCACCAAGTTGCAGTATAAATCAGAACCAGTCATTGTTGCCCTTAAGATGGTCAACGAAATGTTGGATGTAAAAACCCACTGGTTGTTGAATAAAGAACCTCGTGATACGACATTTACACCAAGTCAGACAGCATCAATTTAACACAGACCTCCACAAACTGTGTCTTCCCTCTGGGCTCCACCACCATTGTCTTGTACTGGCTGATGCTGTTTGATACCCCAGATTCCTGCCAAGAAATCACATTTAAAAAAATTTCTTTATCAAGTTAATCTAAATTTCCCATGCAATTATCTTCATTTTGTCAGAATGCTCCTGACCACTTGACCTACATGTTGTTAAATATTGCCAATATAATGCATACTATCTAATTTATAACATGACTTTGTATACAGTTGCACCGGGAAAGTATACATGTAACCTTTTCTTATCATCTGCATTTATATACTAATATAATCATTAATGTTCCATATTGCAAAGACATATTACGGTAATCCAGTAACTGTGACAAATGCTAGACCCTGGATTTGTAGTAGAAACCCCTGGCCACACACCTGCCAGACCTCCAGGCATTTATTCATCACAGGGTATGATGGGAAAAACACCAGCAGACCATTGGGCACAATCCTGGCAAAGTTCACTGTACAGAAACAAAACAGTTGTGTATTTATGACATGTATGTAGCAAAAAATGCTAGTGGCCCAATGCACCCTAAAGTATACAACCCCGTTGGCCCCAGAGTTCCATTTGCAGTCCATGCACATAGTCTCATTATCTTAACTCTACGTGTTGTACAAGTGTGAATGATGGCTCCCATGGAAAAGATGAAGGATTATTTCCTATCTTTAGAGAGTTCTCTTTCATGATGGATGTATCTTGGCTGTGTTGCTGTGCGATTAGAAGTGACCTGATACAAAATCAAAGTAATATTGTGCAAAGGAGTGTTATGAATTATTGGAATCTAATGATCTGAACAATCTACCATACACTATGTAATTGTAACAGACAAAAACAAAAACTGAGCAATTTCTGATTAAAGAATTATGATATAAAATGCAACAATCATCAATAAGGAAGTAAAATTGTCATACCTCCAACTGTGAAATTACATACAATCAAGACCTCATACAAATGTAGGCTCTAAACTATTTGTTATACCAGGACTGTAATGTGCTAATAATTCTGCCAAATGTTCCAACAACAACCCCTTGCATGCTGATAGTAGCCTTTGGTGATAGATCTCTGCTGGTTACAGGGTTAGGCAGAAGGGAGATCGTTAATAAAATACAGTATAATGATGATGCTGTTTTCCATTTCTCTTACCTTTCCCAGTCCTGTGATTTTTTGCTAAGTCCCCTTATGTCGAAAAGAGCTCCTCATTCTAACAAAATTTATAGATGTGGCCTTCGCTTCTACAGATAACATGCTACCGGTGCCAGTTACATTTACCAGATTCCTTGATCTATCAACCTCTGTACGAGCCGTACATACATGTAGGTAGATGTAAACTTAATAAGTGCTATGTTTTATTGATGGAAGAGAAGTGCGGGAAATACAGGGAGTTTGGGTGATAAGACTGCAACAACACACGGGTAAAATGAATTATACATGTGAGCAAAAAGTACGTGCAAAACACCCATCATGTAGCATGGTTTAAGGTATATGGTAATTCATCTATACAATCAAAAAGTGTTTTGCTCAACTTTTCAGCTACCAAGGGCATATCATAACTGTGTTATGTAACATCTATTGAAGCAAAAAAGAATTCTAAATAATGTAGACACATTTTGCCTGAATAACAACATTGCAGCTTGTCTTTTAAAAAAGATGGCAAGACTTCAAAAAAGATGTACAAAATCCATACGTATTGCCTGCCAGCAAAGGCATACTTGTCGTAAAACAAATACAGAGGGTGCAATATTCAGCACCATCTCACAGGGACAAAACTTTCATCTTTTCCCACTTGGGGCTGATCCATGTTCTGAATTCATACCGGTCGTAGCACGAATGGAGAGGGTTCGACAGAGAGCCTGAAGCTTGAAATAGTGATGTCATACATCTCAGACAATCCATTTACAGCTCATGGTTATTTCCTCTGCCTGTAACAATCCACACTACAGTCAATATAACACTGTTGCAAGAACACTAATAGCATTGACCTTACTTGCATTGACCTTACTTAGTTCCTTGAAATGGGTTTGTCTAAAGTCATTTATCTAGACTAAGTACATGAACTTACAGTTAGAACATGACTGATGATCTCAAGTGCTGAAAACATGCATCTAGAATTATTAGCAAACAACAGTTGGATCTACAAACAGATTGAGTCATAGCATGGAAATTATCAAGGTGTCAAACATTGCTTTTTTTTCATTTTGGATGAAACACATATACATACATGTAATTATTCCAGACCTGTATGTTTTCATTTATTTTGTCAACATGATCTTGTGGCTGCTTTCGCCTACATCTACCTTCATTAGTCAATTACTAGGTACAGCATTTAAACAAAGATCTTAAAATTTATGATTGTGTACATGTAGTACATGTATGTGTTGTATGTGAAACAGCAACATGGGATTTATAACATTTGTCACGAACATCTTTCAAATGGATAACAAGAGGCTTCCAGCACAAATATTTGGGTACAGCCTTAAGCTGCATTCTAGTTTAAATCCTTTCAAAACCTTTTGTACTGAATGTAGCTTTTGCGTGGTTTAGATGCTTTCATGCCCTTTTCTGACACCCATCTACATGCCTGACCAAGCAAATCATGGTGTTAACATATCCCAGGGTCCAACATTGCTTTTAGGTAGTCATGGTAGGCCACAAATCTGCATCCCGTGACCTACTGTTGGCATCACAAGTAAACTGTGACAGTTAAACCCCTGCTTGAGTCTGAAAGCCGTTCACGGCTGACAGTCAAGATTTCTATCTTGTAGACGGGTCTCAACAGTTTGAACACGCTTGTCCTACAAAATCAGCTTCTGTCAGAGAAGGGAGAGGGAGGTTTTATCTTTACCGCTGTCTTATACATTAACCATGGCAACAGAGAAGTGGTAGCCAAACAGCTACTTCACTGTGCCAAATGTTTAAAACTGTTTAAAACCACTAGTATACCTCCATTTGAGCCACCGGGTATTCCAGACGCTTTCAGTATGGCTTATTGAGGACTGACAATCAACTGAAACTCTATCTCCACACACTCACTTCCAATCCTTGCTGCAAAGGACGACATACATGTACGTACAAACTTCCCCTAAACCAGTGCTACCAAAAAAAACCAAAAAAAATTATCCATTTTTCCACATGCAAAGCAGCATGGGATTAGTTGTCAACAGTCACAATTGTAGACTTTCTTTGATGATGTATGAGAACTTGTGAAATGACCCCCTAGTGAGTACAGTGTTTGGAAATACATTCAAATCTTACCTATTGCATTGCCCAAGGAGTTGATGTAATCAGTAGAATTCCTGTGGTGGAAATAAAAAGATTATAGTGGAGATTTCAGGTATGGATTTCTAGCTAGAAGGAAAGCCTTTCTAGGGCACATGGGGGCGGTGCGTTTCATTTCCAATGATGCAGGCCTGGGATGACATTGTGATTCAACTTTAGTAAATTGAAAAGGTACATGAATCTAACTAACTAATGTCTAATTCTCTGTCATGATAATTCTGATATACAATTCATTGCAGAAGTACATGAAAGTAAGTATATAGACTGGTAAGGAAACAAAAATGTAGCAAAATAAGCAAGAAATGGCACAAATAAAAGTCACAAACTTCAAGTAACAGTTGCAACAAATTCGGCATAGTTCTAACAAAAACCCATTGTTTAACATTAATAAGGAAGGGTGGGCACATATCTTCTAATCTTGTGGTGTACCTCCCTCACATTCTTCTGCTCTTTACACTGAACCCAACTCCTCACCCATTCCACTTCCACAAACCATTAAGAACCCTCCAGAGAGACATTGACTACATGCACAATGCATCTCCACTTACAAACTTCAACATGCTTCAATCTGGAGAATACAAATGAGACATTATACAACAACAAGACATTTTTAAAGAGTCAAGCAGAGTCTGTTTGATCATATTTCTTTAAAGTTTGACTGGGAGGATTACAGTGTGATATTTCATATGAGATTCCTTCCACTGGAATATTTTCTGGGAAAGTCTCGGATCAATAGCAATGAAATCTAAGGTCTTGACTCGGTAACCTTCCTGACCCCACTTTCAGGCATCTGGGTTTTCGTGCAATGCTCGCATAAATGTAGATCAAGGGCAACACTCAGCCCTGAAGTTGACCCCATGAAGGAACTTGAAATAGAGGGAAAATGCAGGTCTAGATGCATCTTTTCTCTATCCATCAAGCCTCTATGAATGTATATTTTTAGATCAAGCTTTAAGCACTTTTTTGGCAAAAAAGGGGGCAAAGTAGATATTGAGATTTGATAGTCAAGAGTATACTGTAAATAATTAAACTTTCAGGTGACTTTATTTTCATGATTTTTGCTGTAAACCCTCCATTGAGAATTCATTATTTTCGGAACTTATAATGAAGGTTCATGTACATGTAGTTTGTATACACTTGTCACCAAGAATATATTCAACCACTTTGATATGGATCTTATCTACATTTCAGTTAAAAGACATGGGGTTTCAGAACTGTCAGCACAGTTTGTATCTCTGAGCCACCAGTCTCTCCGTGGATGATGGATGGTACTGTGGGGACTACTCACCTGTTCTCATAGGAGGAGTTGAGCTTGACACCATCTGGACCTTTGGTAACCATGCCCAGCCACACCTGGTGACGCTCGATGACATGAGGGTTTTCCAGGTGCACTGGGAAGTCACTGGAAGTTAGACAGAGATGAAAGCTACTGTGAATCTTATGATCTCCATGTATTGATTGAAGAGCTAGCCGTAAAGAATCATGAGCTATGCTATGCACACATAAGCTCACACCAATCTAATTTCTTGGTTCTAGAATTAGCCCACTTCTTTTATGATTTGCCAAAAAAACATGTACATGTACATGTACTATTTTTGGTTCTGATTCAACAAACAAAGGCTCATATCCTTCTGTTCCTAACTGTTTGTTTTTTTCTTTTATCCATATTGTAATTTGATTGAAAGTTCAAAATGCATTATTGAATTATCAACCCTGATATGACCCCAACCCCATACCTATCAAGCCTAGTATGTTGACTTCGCAGTTCCTATAGTACAAATGTATTATTGAGGACTATTACAGGATGCCTAGGCCTGTCTTTTGTCACCTATCCACTTCATATATTTCCTGCAGATATCCATGAAGCAACAAATCAACTTGTTGTGGCCTAAGCTGAATCTTACACACCTAACATGCATGCTAACATGTACACAACATGACATTGGTGTTTTGACAAACTGCAGTCCTGGGAGGGTCTGTGTCTATGACATGAATGAATGATTGAGTTTGCTACCAAATGAGACTCTCACCTTGAGGAATTTATGGAAGCCACAAGGACTGTTTATTTCTAAATAGACAATGCTAAATTCCAATTCGAGTCCTCAGTTTCTGGTTTACAAGTTCTTAAGATACCAGGTATACGATGTATGCCAAGGCTTTACACACCCTTAAAAGCAGGTTTTAAAAGGCTCAGGACAACTGTTGGCTTGACACGAAATTGGCAACCTATTGACCTCACATGGCCAGTATTATGCATGAATTTGACACTACAAAATGAACAGAAAGCACTTTTAGTTCAGGAAAGGCAGAGAAGTCGAATATCAGTTAAAATGGACCGATTCTGAGGGAACAAGATAGGAGACATGCTGGAAGCTGCAAAACAGCATAACATTCAGCACCTTGGACAAATTCAGCACCATGGACAGAGCAATTATGGTGTGGTCATGTTCATTGTAGGCCATCCTACGGTATTGAGTTGTTTGGAACTATTTTCAAGGAGGTTTTGACAGAACCAAATGCCAACAAGGATCTAATACACTCAGAATTTTTCATTTACAACAAGAGAGCTGAATTTACACATGTACGATAGTCCCAAAAGTTGTGCAAAAAGATTGTACAACAAATGTGACTGCACCCTAAGTGTTGGAATCTCATACAGCTTCATCTAGCATAGTAACTGTTGGCAGCATGATTGCATGAATAGTGCTGACTTATAGAATGACTGACAGGCGTTCAGAAAGATTAGGGAGAAACCCGGGGAGACCAAAGCACTGTGCCAAATTCACACAGACACAAATTCTTCTGACCTGACCTTTTCTGCAATAGCAATAAAAAACAAAATTTTAGGGGCAAGGAGACTGAAGGCTTTCAGACTTGTACAGTGTGGGGTCATGAATGTGTTACAAAAGCTTTTAGGTGTCATCAAGTTCATTACCAGAGGAAAAAAATTTTTTTGGTTTCTTCCCTTTGACTTCACACTTGTGGCATCACTGCTCCCAACTTACCTGTGGGTTCATTTTGGGGTAGGCGGGAAAGGGAGGTTTTCACTGTTTTAAATTTGTGGTTGAAACAATTTTATAGTCGAGTAGTCATACAAGAAAGACATTCTCAGTGTCACGGTGGAGAGATCACTGTGAAAATAAAACCACGATTTACAGTACTAGCTGAGCCTCTCACTGTTTCATTCTTGTCATGTACACAGCCAATATCTTTGGTACCAAACTCGTGTCATGAATATTTGGCCCAGCCTGTGCCTGCCAACACTTTTACACACACAAAATCTCTTGAATATATAGAGAAAACAGTGGTTTGTCTCAGCTTCTGCAAACCTATCAACCTGTTACAGCTTTGGTAGGTGTTCTTCCATTCGGCTGGAAAATTAAGATTTACCACTGATTGCTTGCAGGCTGTCTGAGGGCACGACACAGTAATTACTGAATCCATGGTCCGTGAATGGCGCACTAATGATATTTGAGTAGGCAGAATCTTTCCACTGTGTGAGTGGCATGTTAATAACATCTAACATGGCGGCATATATGGACAATCACATTTCACCAACTAGTACACAGGCAGGGGCATATAATTTCCTACTATAAGTACACAAGTACACCGATACATGTATGTCATAAAGTGGGGTGTACAACATGAAACAAAGCTAAATGTCTGCAGAACCTACAATTACAAATCTCTTTTCAGAGCTTAAATCTGAGATTCTGTGGCTATTTTTAAGCAAGATTACATACTTATTTCATACTAAGGTTATTTTCTGACTCTGAAATAACAAGACTATTTGCATATAAATGTTCTAGGTACTATATAGTACCTAGAACCTTTACACATAGTATATAACCACACACAAATATCTACATGTAGGTGTTCCAGTGCACCCACAGTTAGAATGACTACACAGCTCCAATTTTGGGTGCAAAAGATGTATAATGGTACTAAGAATTTGTGCCCTGCCTACAACAGTTCCCTTTGTTTGCAACATGGCAGATCATTCTACACTGTACATGTATGGCTGAGTGTGACTGATGTGCTGAAGACTTCCTCTTCTTACATTTGCCATGATTTGGAACCAATCCAAGGGAAGGATGAGGACAACCACAGCTGGCACAGCTCCAGAATGATAAGTCTGCAGGTCACAGCAGCTTTGATTTAGTACAGCAATATAAACATTGGTGCACATGACATTTACAGTCACCCTGCGGGGACTCCCTGGCTTGCATTAAGGTCTTATTGTAAATCATTTGCACATGCTGTGTTTTTCTCCATATCGAGAGGGTGATAAGTAAGGGCTCCATCGCATGCATCATGTGATTGTCGTACAATCGCAAACTGCGGTCATTCTTGGGGCAGTCGTGCATTTCTACTGCAAAATTCAGCTGTCTTGTTATGGAAAGACTGTCTTAGATCCTTGTCGGGGTTTAGTTCTGTCACAGCCTGCCTGAAACTTCTGCTGCATCAAAATTATACAGCATGTATGGCAAATGGGACTGTGCCATTTAGAGACTATAGTAATTACAGTTCAACATGTGCAATTCATATCAACCAGTGTATAAGTTGAAAGAAAGCACTGTAATATTCTATACTATAGTGAGATTGGGGAGCAACTACCTTAGTTATTGCATAATTCATAGGTAACTAGAGCATGGAAAATAAAAGCATGTAAGAATGAAACTTCTGCAAACTCAATTAGGACACCTGCTGGCTGACTGAGGCAATTTTATGGTCCAAGTAGAAGGTACTCAGTCATTATCCTGGAGCTAAGCAGGAATGACCTCTGGCCTTTGCAATCAAGCTGGCTACTTTGTCACACTGACTAGCTAGTTTGTCACCCTGACAGGTAATACCAGATAGAATCAGTTGGGATGGAAACAATCTGGTTCTTTAAAAAACTACAAGATGAATGGACCTGACAATCTGACACTGTTGTACCTGATAGGGATAGAGATTTGGCCACACTTTGGAACACTTGCAATGGGGCTCATTAGGTTATCTATGTTTGCAGTAGGAGTAACATATTTTTATATACACTTGATTTTCAGGTATAGTACATGTACCAGTATTTTGGGTCAGTCCTGTACCTAAATGATTTTCTCGGCACTGTACTGGATACCAGTATGTAGGCACACATTTCTATGTTAGTGATCCACATGAATGAATGTCACAAAGTCTATCAATGGCTCACAAGAGGACCAGGAAAATTTGGGTAAGTCCCAATTTATTTAGTGTTGGACATAAGGTTTTAGTTCTTTCGTCATAATGTATTGTACCAACACGGATGAACTTTCATGCTTAAGAGGACTAGGTACTCACATGTGCATCTCTGCAGTGAAGGATTCTAGTGGAGACAGAGTTCCACTGGTGAGGATGATGGAGTGGACCCCGTGTCTGGCCAGGTCCTGCATGGCATGGCCGGGACTGAAGCACCAGTAGCTCAGGGTGCGGCCCTGCTTCTTGGGCTTGGACGATGTTGTTCCCCAGGGGTCTGCATTAGCCTTGGACTTTTTCTGGAATCCCTCCTCTGGCTTTACGTAAACCTGCCATATAGATAGTCACATCATTTTGCTGATTATTCTTTGAAAACATAACATGGAACTTCTTCACATAAGTTTTTAATAAACATCAAGTAAGCAATAACTTATACATGCTTATTGTGTTGTCATGCTTCTATCGAATCTATCCTCTCAAGAATGCCTACCTTGAACAATATTAATATCACAGTACATTGCACTTCATATGTGTTGTTCCCTCTCAGGAAGTGAATCGTGGCTGCAAAGGGTAAAAAGGCTAGAATTAATAATCAAAATCTAGTTTCTTGCTCACCTTGTAATAGTTAGACAACACGTTGGCTAAATTGCTCCCCGGTTGAGCGGCTGAGGAATCGTGGCTGAAAGCAATCTGTGCAAGGGAACAAAAAGAGATCAGAGATTTCAGATTTCGAGGATGCATTTTTGGTTTTGTGAATACATTGGAACTGCATTGTTTAATTGTGGATAAATACTCGTTGAAATTTCATAATACATAAGAAATAATTATTATTTATGCAATTGTATAACATACCTTGTACTTTACACCATAGTTTTGTTTCACACAATTACACAGGACACATTACTGGCCTTCTCATACTACATCCTACCACCCAGCGCATACTCATCCCTGCCAATCAACTGAAACCTAATCTTTTCCCACTCATTTCCAATCCTCACTGCTCAGGACAATAAACATACAAACTCCCTGTGAACCAGTATGACCCAAAACAATACTTCTGTCCTGGAAGTAATAAGCAGTTCAAAATCTCATATCAAACCTACCTTGAGCACATCACCCAACTTGGAGACTCCTGCAGCTTTGTTACCGAACACTACACTGGTCCCAGTGTTGGTGGTGGCATAGGAAACTACCTTGTCAAGAACCTCAAGCAAGATAGGTGCTGTCTCAAAGGTAATCTGGAGCTCAGCAAACAGCTCATAGAGGAAACTAGATGTCGCAGTTAGGAAAACAAATGTGCAAGTTATGAAACAACTCATATGCTCATGTTCTATTTCGCATAATGTATGTATTCCACCTTCATACATGTATGCTGCCTGGCCTCAAATCCTAGCAAAGGTTGTATTATACAATGTATGACTTGTACATTTGTAGGTGTTGAGCAACAAATCATCACTGTGGCAGTCTCTCCCTCATGAGATACATTTGTAAGCTGACTCAGTCCATATACCAGAAATGTTTTTGATTCTCACAACAGTCACCATTTGTGACTACATTTTACATTTTTTTTAGTATTTCATAAATCTAAACAAACATATATACATGTACCTTCCAGGTTTGGTTATCCCTGACCCATTGGCAGGTAATGGAAGAGAGTCAATTTTCTTCTCCAATTCTAACAGCATACCTAGAAGAAACATATTTATTGATTCAATATTGAGGTCATACAGTGCAAACAATAATACCAAGATACATGTACTTCACCATCTTAGTTTGTATGTATTCTGTCATTTATTCAACCTCCATCATATAAACTCTAGAATAATTTACATGTAGCTACAGTAATGTCATAATAACTTTTAATACTTACAGATCATTAGCTACAGCAGGTATTACATTACTAAGTAATGTGCAATATATCTTATCTAATACAACAGTAGTATTTGACTCACTCTTCAACTTGATCAACTCAGTAGCACTGAAGTCAGGTGCTGTGAATAAAGTAGAGCAGATTCAACAAATATATCTTAAAGTTTATACTAGTTATAATTATGATTAGGTAAAATAATATAAACTTTAAGGAGTAGTGTGCCTCACAACACATTATGATGCCAGCCAAGTACATTAAAGTACCTTCCTTGAGTAAGGTAAATGTGAATGTTTGTCATATTTTATCATTACAAATACCTACTTTCACAACATTCATTGCATGAATTTCACTCTGAGGATGGAAAAATGAGAGATACAAGTGTGATTACTATTATAACTGATAAAGAAACAATGTAGTATGTACATGTAACTTAAATTCAGCAGTGACATTTTATTTCAAATTAGTCAAACACAGACAGGAGTCTGTTTGTCAATGTTAAGTCTGTTCACTCTTTTAACAAGATAGTGGGGATTTCAGACTTCCAGGAAGCATTCTTGTTGACCTTCAATGTCACCCCATTTTGTGTATCTAGACTTTTGACCTCCCATCATTCTGCTCGTCAATCTTCCCCCCTCCTCACACTTTCTCCCATTTCCTGTATCACCTTTGACCTGTCATTCTTGCCCCTTCACCTGCTATCAACCTACCAACCAACCCTCAAGTTCACCCTATATTCTGTGTTTTGAACTCATGTCACTCTGCCTGTCAATGTACCCCCCACCATCCACATGCTGTCAACAGTTACTTACTAGTTGTCAGGACAACTTGACACAGAAACTAAGCTCAGCCACCCAAAACAATACTTCTGTACCAGGAACTCACGTGTGGAGGATTCTGTGTGAAACTTTTCGTTCAGTACTTCGATCTCAGCCACAGACTTGTGGAGGTTGTCCAGCTCCTCCACACAGGATGCCAGGTCATAGGCCGTCAGGTCAAAGGAGGACGACTCCTCACACATTTTCTCCTGTACAACATGGTGACGAAAATTAAGTCAACGTTTTAAATCCAGCATTTAGACTATTGCTACCCGATTGACAATGTATATACATGTATTAGTTAATTATGGTTTGTTTGTCTTTTTCATACTAACTTGCCTTCAGTCAAGGACACTCAAGGACTGCATGTACGTGACATACATAAACATCCTAAGGAAGTTTGAGGTGCTTGTAGCAGAACCACTTACCAAGTTGTGGGCCTCATCAAACACAATGATGTGATTCTTCAGGTCCACGCTGTGTGCCTTCCGTGACTGCAGTGGGACAAAACTTCAGTTACCCATAAGAACCACATCTATCAATCAGAGGTTTCAGACTTCTTGGAAGTATTTGGGGTTTTGTGACCTTCAAGTTGACCCCATTTCCTGTGTCTGACCATGGACCTCCTGTCATTCTGCCTGTCAATTTTCCACATACCCACATGCTGTCAACCTACACTCAATGCAAGTTGACCCCATTTCCTGTGTCTGACCTTTCCCCACCCATGTGCCTACTACAAAGCTCATCTACACCTAAAACAATACCCCGGGAAGTAACAAATGTCGTTGTTCTGCATTATGTAACTACGTCGTGTGTGTGTGTCATTATTTCTAGTACAGTGCTGCCTTGCCACCAGACGGTGAGGAACATTATCCCTGTCTGGCCTACATGCTCTCTTCCCTAATGGTCTATGCAATAGCTGAATCCACCGGTAATGGTCTACAACAAGACGTGATGACTAACTGAACAGCATTGGCCATCTAAATGTATGAGGAATGACCATTTTCCTTGGACAAGATGCACCGAAATCTTGATTCGTAATGCTGGCAATTTCCACCTCTAATTTACAGTTCTATCCCCGTTTGCTGTCCCAGTTCACCCAGTTGGAAATGGGTACTGGTTGTCCCATATGGGAAGGTTAAACTGCAGTGGATTACTATCCCATCCTTTGATGGGTCGTCTGCTCAGTTACTGCACGCCAGAGAGCACGAGATAGGCTCTGGCCATACAAGGTTATACCACATGCCTGAGCAGAACGGCCACTAAAATGCATTGTAAATGTCACCTAAAGAGGCTTGGTCCAGTTCGAGTAAATAACATACTAAATAGTACAATACTCTAAGCAAGCCTCCCAACTTTTATTGTCTGTACTTAAGTAACATCATTTTTTGCTTAGCAATGCATCAAGCTTCTGTTCATGTATAAGTGGGTAAAAGAAATTTCTTCTGACTTCACACCTTTCTAATTTCCAAGTCTGCACATGTGGTAATTTTTCAGCCCAGCAGTACAGCGCTATAGAAATCCTGACTGCACATCCATTACCTACATGTAATGCAGGCTCAAAATACAGTGCCTTACATACAATATACCTAATGACCACGAAAATGTACCCCACATAGGGCAAGCTCTGTACTAATGTGGCAAGATTACCTATAGAATAGGTTGGTTTTCACCGAGAGGTTTTGAAAGCGCAGCGTTGCAGCCAAGCAGTTTCAATAACGACCACTCCTTGCATACAAAGTGAGTAATAAAGGCTATATGTGTTGAGAAGAGGCATATATTTTTTAAAGGAACGTGTAAAAATTGTATGCCACAGTTCGAGGGGGCTGATATGCGCTGAGAATGATAAATTCATCTTGCTGCAGCCTTACTGTCATCTGATAAATGGGGACTAAGTATTGATCTCATGATGTCAATCTGTGCTGCCTTGCCTGCAAACTAATCTGTCTGGAAAAAGCAGGGGTTGTCTCAAAATGGCAAGCTATGGGGTTTGTCTCATTTGTGAGTCCTCTGTGAAAAGGTACTGATTTGCTTGTGTTTGTGATCTGTTTGTGTCCATATGGTCGGGTGACAGCCCATGGGTGAGTGAAATATAACTTCAGACCACAAAAGGTCAGACACAGGAATTACATGTTAGGTCCCAGAAGCTGGCCATTTGCTGGCCGGAGGTTGGCAGGAGTCTGTTGGCTGGATATATATACATGGGAAATTCACAATAATCACTAGAATTAAAAATTCACAATACAGATTTCGTGTCCAGTTTTTTTAACTAATAACAGATCACTATTGACTAAATATGGATTACAAAGTTAACACAAGCTGACACCTTTGGGTCCAGTAGGTAGTTGTAAGGCATGAAGATAATGTCAGCTGATGACTTCAGCTCTCGTGCCATGTAATAGGGACAGACCCTGCATAAAAAAGCTGCATATTAGTCTAATGTATATGAAACATTAGGGAAGGGTACTTTATATCCTACCAAGTCTATTTGCAGTGCTAAACATGATGCATCTGTTTTGAAAGAGGGTGTTGATGATTGGAAATTCTTTCAATAAGAGATATCATAGTTTGATAGTTTCTTGAGGAGATACAAATTACTTCAATAATGGTAAAATAATTAAGAAAATAAGGTTACAAAAATTCTTCTAAACAGTAAGTTGGTTCTTCCTTGGTCAATACCTGAATGCTTTCATGTCAAACTAGATAACGAGATGAGAAGTTATCTGTTCCTTTGAACCATTATATCATCAATAATAGGCTTGAGTCTCATATTCCCACAGAAGCTTATGCCATTACAGGCCAGAAGTAATCAATCTTTCTACATCTTCTTACTTCGACCAAAAAACTAAAACTATAAGTTTTCTCTCTAATTTTTATAGATATGGTAGTGCTAGACAGCTATGAATTCCCCAAAAGAAATTTAGATAATAAAAGAACTATGAATTCATATTGGATCAAAAGATATTAAACATATTAAGAAAGTTCACAAACATTTCTAGATCTCTAGGGATATAGATATACACCCATTGCATGGCATGCAGTGATTATTATTCAACCTTTGCCCTGCTAAGATAGCCATTTAGCACCACATTTGTATTGGTTGTGGGGTTAGGCATCAGCTAAGAAGGTTAAATAGATGAATTCTGCATTATGTTCATACATTGTGCATCTTACCTGAGATTAATAAGTCATAGAAAATGAGAAAATGAAAATAACTAATTGTATGTCATCAGTCAATATTCCAATACATGTAATGCCAAGAAAACTGCTGAATCAAGGATGACGGAATCAGAGAAAATTGTGCTGCATTACTCCAGGGATGTAACAACATTTGACTCAGCTGGATTTTAGATAAAAAGAAATTTCAGATGTATCAACAAATTATGAGTATGTGGAAAGTCACAATTAAAACTAAATTAGAGTAAAAATTCCGAGACGGCCCAGGCTTACATATAAGTTGCCTTTCTAGTTGATCATGCAGATCTTTAGACGTCTGCACCTCTACCTTGATGTTACTGGTAATGTGAAAATCTATTCATCAATTGCTCCTCTAAATTCTACATAAATAAATGCATTTATTATTTACTTATATGTTGGATTTGATTTTGAAAGAAAAAAGCCCATTTGATATTAATTCAAAAAGGTGTCACTGTGTTAGCATCATAGCCTAGAAATACTGTATTCAAAGCAAGTTCACATACTTATGTTTTCTGCCTACTTTGACCAGGTCTTCAATGTCCAGTGGGGCCTCGCTGAACTCTTTCTCACTTTTCTTTTCTGAAGAGCAAAATACAAACATCAAGTAAACTTCCTGCTCCAACTGTATATATTATGAAAACTTATATATATACACTTGTGTAACATTAGGCCACACCAATTTAATTTCTTGGTTAACAGATTCGCCTGCTTCATTTTTTTCTGATCTGCAAAAAAAAACAAAACATTCAGAATCAACTGCAAAATGCTCATATTTTGCCCTGAACAGTTGAAAACAGTCCTTTTCTTCCTAGTTATTACAGTTATTCCATCTTTCAATGCAGTGGCATCATTAAACTTTTAAAGGTTCAAAATCCATTGTTTCAATTTTGAACCAGCCTGGTGTGTTGACTTCATGTCTCCTATCGTACCACTTTGGGCCATAATAGGATGCCTAGGCCTGTTTTTATTCTTTTTTTTTCCCGCTCACTCCATTATTTTTCTAGAAAAATCCGTTAACCAATTGCAAGAAATTAAATTGGTGTGGCCTTAGCAATGTAAAAAAAATATTATGCAGAAAACTTGCCGTCTAGGTTGTTGTGAAAGACACAAAGTCGGGAGGATGTCTTTGCCTTGCACATGTGAACCTGTGGCATGGAGACAAAAGTTTCAACATAACACCCATTCCAGTCACATGATTTTCAACACGGGAAAATAGGTTCTGTACATACAATGCACTACTTGCATATGACATCCTGATCTAGGATACATCTGCACTATATATAATACATGTATGCAACACATATACTGGTAACCATATACAGCATACTATTCTATGACTGTGCTATAAATGTTCATCCTTACTTTGTCTACAGTACACGTACACAGCCATGAAATCCATAATGTTGATCCCACTCACACAGGAACGAATGCATGTTTTAGAAATTGAAGCAGTGCAGGAATTTCTGAGACATATTCACCTTGCAAACTGTAAGTCAACCCACCATGGGCATGAAGCTTAATATCATATAGAGTAAGAAATCAGTCTGTAATTGTAAAATGTTTGATATCACTATCAGACATTACATAATGCCAGTCTCTTATGGAAGGGAAACAGCCAACAAATCTACAGAGAGCAACACAATTCAATGTCTGCCTTTTTTGTCTGTGTAATACTCTTGATGTCTGATGGAAACGTCTGAATGAATCATTACGGCAAGAAATACTGAATTTCTGCAATTTTTTTATAGTTTACGCCAGAAATATTCAGGATAATTTTATTATTTTTGATACCTAAATATCTGACTGACATGTTGTAATGGTTGAAAATAAACCTACTTTCAATGTTTAATTGACATTTATTCCTTTTAGCAACTGGTACACACTGTTTTGACATTCACTGCTGCCAGTGACATTTCAACTGCCAACTGAATTGTGCAGGAACTATAAATTTCCCTTCCGAATGGCGCCTGTGTAATACTGATAAGGAGACTACTGTGGACCAGAACATGGTGTCAGGACCATAAATGTGTTATCCTGACCTATAACAAGACCAGTTGGCCAAACCTCATGTCGTGTTCATGTATGAAAGACTGAGGCACCAATAAATTTTCAAAATCCTCCAGCTCACCTGAGCTTTTACTGGGGACGGTTCACTTTTGATAGGGTCGAACATAAAATTGACGATTTCATAAAATCACAGCTTTCACACCTATGTGAAGAGTTCTTGTTGTGAATTTCTTGTTTTCTCTCCTATATCAAATACTGACCTTTGCAGAGTTGCTGGTCTGTTCCTGAACCTCAGGATGAATACACAGCTGTTCTCTAGACCCAAGAATGCACACTTTCAGGTTGCTAATGAAAAAAAAAAAAACAACCACAAGTTACACATTTTTTAGGTTGCATGAAAAACACAATAATTTATCCACACATGTACCAACAAGAAATCAAAGATCTCATACCTCCAAGAAACTTTTTTTTCTAAAGTATGTATTTTTGTAAATTTCTAAATGTAGCAAAAATACATGTAGTATTTTTCACTGATTCTGTCTGATATTCTCCCACTGGCTCCAATAAGGCAACAGACATGGATCTTAGAAGGAAATTGACTTGAAATGAGATAACCTTCGCTGGGACCATTGACCTAACGTCCTGTCAGTGTCTCTGAAATGCCGTGGAAAATAACTACAGAGTCCCTGAGATGCAAGCAAACACACATATACATGTAGACACTGAAAAGTCTGTACATAGAGGTAAATATATTAGATATATAGCGTGTGAGTGCATCCCAGGAACTTGATGTATGATAGCATTATTTCATAAGGCTTTTTGATATAGTGCCCACCTGTACGAAGTATTCTTCAGTTCTGCCACTGCCTGTGACAGCTGGGAATGGGTGCGGGAGGCATAAATTATCTTTGGTATCTCCATAAAGGGACCAGCTATAGGAAAAGGGGAAATAATTATGCAATGATCATTGAGTAAAATTGTAAGCAAGAAATACATGTAAAAACAAAAGAAAAATAAATATATGTTGTGCTTTCAACATAGTGACTTTGTGCAGCTTACAACTTTCAGCTTATTAGCATCTTTGATTTATAATTCCACAATAGTAGATTTCCTAAGCAAAAAAATATGTTTAAAAAGTCTTGACCCATTGCAGCTGTGATGTTTCATTATGAATACTATATCATTATATTAGTCCACGAAAAAATTACCGAAAATTCTGATGTGGAAAAATTCCATTATACCCCTTCAACTTCAACTTCAAGCTCCACAATCTCTCTTCTTACCTATACATACTAGACAAAAAATTGCAACCTTCAAGACATTGAACTAATCTTTAAGGACCAATGTTCCTTCGTCCATGTGGAGCTGATTAAAGTCGATCCTCAGGCCTGCAGATATGTTGTGTGGAGCCATTATTGACTTGTGATTCATGTGGCCAACGTTACGGCCAAATTACTGCTTGCAAGCTGGGTCAGCGGGCAACATTGTAAATAGAGCAGGGTCTAGACACTCAGATACATCACCTGCATTATGTACAATGTACTGTGCTCCTTATCAGCAATATTGATAGGGAATTAGACACATGTCAATGTGAATCCTGCGGTCAGCAAGCTTGTAATGGCTATCTCATCCCCTCACCATATGGCAAGGCTTTATTCAATCTATGATTGACGCACCACTGGCAATGCAGTTTTTTGAGGAACAAAAATTTAAGATTGCCAATCCAAGAGGGCAGCTAGATCATATGTATGACAGCATTTCACTTTTTTTAAATTGTACCATTCATACATATATATTTATGAAAAGATTTTAAAACAAGCATACCTCATCAGTGTACATCAAAGTTTTGGAATTTTTCCTACCAGTTTGTTCAGTGTTTCCCCAGCCAGCTGCCCCTCCTAACTGATTGGCCAGCATCTGGCCATATGTGGAGGACTGACCCTCCTCGTCTTTTGTGAAGTGTTGCTTGAGTCCTTCAAACTGCATCTTGGCCACATACGCTGAACGCCAGGCAAGGGTAGCACAGAGGAGGCACAGGGTCTTGCCTGTTCCTGTGGGACTTTCCAAAACTCCATTGGTGCCCTGGGGACATGATACATATAGAGAATTACATGTACAAACTAGCATTACCAATTACTACAAAAATTGACGTCAATCTCTATAATATATACATGTAATACACATGATTATGTACACTGAATGAAGTTTCATTGGAGGCAAAAATAAAGCATACTTAAATCTACAGTCTTTCAGATGACCAGTTTCAAAGCTTGCACAAGTTTCTTTAATATTGAATTGTATGTACAAATATACATTCTTCGGCCTACGAGTACAACATAGTAGGCAATCAATCATCAGGGACCTTGTACACAATAACAAACAATAGTTAATGATAATAAATCAAATATTTGATAATCATATTCAGTAAATAATAATCGACTGTATCATTCTACATTCTATCACTAAGCATTGGAGAAGTTTCAGATAAATTGTTTACAAGGTAACTTGTGCAATACATTTTAGTAGTAGTACAAATGTACTAGTAGTTAAGTGCATGCATGCACAAATGCTTGCTTGCAAAGATTTCAATCATTAGCAGAGTCATTGACGTAGGTCTACCATCACCGAATCATAAACTTGACAAGACTCTACAATATGTATAAAATTATACTTCCTTGTGGTACTAATTTCAAATTCCAGCTTCGGATTTTAATCTCGAGATCAAAAGGAAACTTTACGACGGGACCTTAATAACCTGCCAAGCCCACAAGTACAATCAATAAGGATTTACCCAGCTAATATTCCCGCCACGTCTCTATATCCCAGCTTTGTCAGATTTCCCTGAAGGCACTGACGGCAGTTTGTGGAAATGTTCTGGCCTTGAACCAGAATTGGCAGGCTAGCGCTCATTTCTTGCCATGAATTTAGTGCTTTAGTTATAATTATTTCCAGGAATGGAAGTATTGTTTTGGTTGGTTGAGTTGCAGGTTTGTAGTTGAGGGGGGTGGGAGGTGATTTTGACAGTAAGTGAGTTGATTGATAAGGTGGCAACCCTGAAAGTGACCCAGCGTTTGTCGGGTGGGACTAAGTCGGTGCTATGTACTAGTAAAGGAATTCAGGAAGTGGGGTAATATCCAATTAAATCACATCATACAACCCCTCCATAGTTAGAAGGTAATGTCTGTGATAGTTCCAATTCACTAAAACCCAAAATACTTCCTGGAGGTCTGAAACCTTTCATTTTGTATTTTTGTGAAACTTTCAGCTACTAGGAACTAAAACATTAAATTCTACCGCATCCAGACTGTTGATAAGCACATAAGCTGACTGGATGATCAGAATGAATTTGTCCACTGGGGAACGTTTTCATTAATCTTGATAAGCTTGTTCTTAATCCCACAAAAGTTCAAGTCATAATTGATGACTTGACACTATATAAACACTACAGCATTTGTCTTGTCTTTTTTCAAATCAGCGTGAACCTTTGCCATATTTCAAGCATGAAGGATTTAGAAGAAGATGCTACTTATAGTAATACATGTACCTATACACCATGACCTCCAAAAATCAAAGACCAACTTTTGAGATAGAGAAGGATAATCAAAGGGTTCAGAAACTTTGTATAGAGATGATGACAAAAGTGGAAGTATGTAATACTATACATAAAACAATGTAACATTATATGATATAAATACTCATGAACATCATCAAAATCATTTAAGAATATTATAAAAACTGTGATATTATATTACTATACAGAGTACAAGAGACAGTCTGTTGTTGGTGTCTACCTTGTAAAATTTGCAGTTGTGTACATAGTATTTGTAGTTACCTGATACATGATGTAGTCCAAGTATACAAGTACGCATTATGAGCAGGATTATAAGTTTCCTTGAACTATAGCACTGATTTTAACATGTCATGTAATCTTCAAGCAGATGGAAAAAGCATTACAGTCTTACTTAGAGTTAGAACTTGCAATCTACACAGATCTAGAGTCTGGGTTGCCCAGATATCTGCTTGGAGATTTAACTCATGTGCAACCACCCCAAACAACCACATATTTTCAGTGATGTTGTGACAAATTGTCTATTGTTCTTTTATTCTTTAATCAACCTTTTGTGATACACAGGCAATAAGTACATAAATACATAAATGTTGAAACATTGCATTGTTAACAAACATATTCTTATACCCAATAAACAACAGTCAATAAGTGTGAACTACGAGTATGACTGTCCACCCCCCAAAGCCAAAGCAAGGCGTATACATGTAGTCTGCCTATATGCAAGTATCCTGATTTCTACCATAAACGGATCACAAATTATGCATTTTGACTCATTAGGCCACTCCAATTTGATTTGTTGGTTCTGATCGACAGGGCGGGAAAAATAAAAAAACAGGGCTAAGCATCCTACGATAGCCAAAAAACTATGCCAGGCCCGTTTACAATTCAAAGAATCAAACAAATGAATTATTAAACTTTTTGTTATGCATGAAAGATGGAAAAGCTGCAACAACTCTGATTCTGAACTGAAGAGACTTCGTACTTCCCTCAACTGTTGGTGACAAAATATGAGCATTTTGAGCATTCAGAGGCTGAATTTCTTTTTTTTAAATCAGAAAAAATAAAGCGGGCGAATACGTGAACCAAGCAATTAAATTGCTTTACTGTTCCACCACACATGCCGTGCCGCGTGGAACACCAAAAAGTCGGCGACACTACCTACCCCATATTGGGCCAACTAGTATAAAGATGAGTGTAAAAGTCCGAAATCTAGCGAATAGCCCTTGAATACTAGTAAACAGTTTACCTCCTGTAGACACTGAATGACTTTCTCCATGTACGACCGCTGACAAGCGTAGGGCTCAAAGGGGAAATCCACGTCCACACCACGGATCTTCAAGAACACCATGATGGGTTTGTTGATGTCTGTGAAGAGCCTGCTGTGCAAGAGTATCAGATGTTACGGCAAACGTTTCTTTTCCTCTATCAGTAGCGTTGTACAACAACAAAAAATGCCCCAAGATGCCCCCCAAGATCTATGTTGTGCCCTGGCAAAGTCAGCAAACTGGCGTGAGGAGTCGGAAGGCTCAGAGTTCTTTTGCACAAATTTTCATTTTGCCGCCATGTTGAATCAGCTGATGAAAAGACGCGTCCATCCTAAATATCCGGGGAACTCTTGCTGTATAGTGGCAATAAATAGAAGCTGATAAAGCACAGTAGTTTGTAAACACCACGATTTCAAAGATTCTAAAAATATAATAACATATTTACCATAAAATTTCTTGCTATCTTTTGTTTTTGAGACATAAATAGTGACGTAAAGCAACACATTCCCCAGTCATATGTGGAAGATTCCTCGGGCAAGAGGTCAACGCGCGCGCGAAACTCTCTTCTTCCCGAGCGAAAGGTTTAAATGTTCATGAAAAGTTAAAAATCCAGTCCCATTAAAATCACTGATTAATATATATTGTTTCAACCGACATCTTGAGATATAAACTGCTCGGCTATCAAATCCCGCTGGGATAACAAGTTCAAACATGCCTCGCAAATAGTTGACCAATGAGAAACCTTATTTTGCTGATGCATAGCAATAAGCCAATCACATCGCGTATATCGATCACGTGATGATTTGCCTTCAGGCCATTCCCGCGCTTTTTGTACAGACGATTTCTCCGATTTTACGCATTCGAGAGGCGTCCGCTCATAGCAGAAGGTGAGCCAGAGTTCAGCTTTTGTTGTTTTGTAGGGGAATAAAGCTGATTTCTCCGAAATATTCCGTCAGAATATAGTTGACACATGGTAGTGGACATAGTCAAAACCGAATTTCTCTCTGTCATTGTGTCTAGGTTTATAATTTTTGAGATTTCCATGCCGAAATTTGTGGATCGAAGGCGCTTTGGTATCTTTATCCTGACAAAACGAACAGGCCATCTTCTCTCCGACCGTTGGTTTATTGGCGCGCCCCTCGGGCATGTCTGGTCAAATCTGTGCCAAAAATACGTACACTATGGGTCACTTATGTGACTATAGTGTAAGAAATTATTTCTAAGTACTGTCAGTGTAAGTTTTGCTCCAAATATTTTGATAAGATTTAGGCTGGGCACAAGCTAGAGTAGAGCGCACGTGCAAATTCTTGGAAACATAAAGGAGTCGTATCGGATGTCAGCCACAATGCCCCAGTCCACTCCTGAATCCCAAGATGCTGTAATTTCTGTACCTCCACAAGACTCCAAAACTTCGCCAAAGATTACAATGAATTACGTGTACTGCCAACGAGCAAGATATAATTTGTTCATCAAACTGATGTGCGATATGAAGCTGGCCAGGATTTTTTTTAATTCCATGGTATTTGTCTGACCCTTTTTGTAAGGACATAATTTTGAGTGTTCATGGTAGGAAAGAGGCCAGTTTTGGAATGCAATCAAGCACTCTTTTTTCAAGTGCCGATCAGAAAAGGTTGAAAAGAAGTAATCCGCAAGATTATTTTTAGATCATCATAATTCATATGTGTTTGTGTGTGTGTGTGTGTGTGACTATGTGTACACATGTATGCTCCAGCCTTAATATTTTATTGTGAAAATGTGTCCCTTTCTTTGGGATCTCTGGAACTCCTCTTGACGTGTCATGATGACCTCCTTCATTGGTATGAATGTTTTTGCACCTTGTTGATACTTTCAAGCAGTCAATGCACTGTCATGTCCATTTGGTTTGCCCATTTATGTGCAACCAAGTGTGATAAAACATTGTTTTCTGATGTATGGACTTCACAAGCTGATTCAGTGGTCAAAACAAGTGTGTAGAAAGTATGTATTCCAGTGTTTGTCTTGTTGTTTTCCTTTGTCTGCATAATGGTCACTCTGTTTAGTTGACAAATATTTGTTCTGCTAGTTTGAATGAATTAAACTACTTGTGTACATAACACTGATACATTTACTGCTGTAGTCGACCATTAGTTTCAAAATATACTGCAGCTCTCAGTGACTTGAACCAAACTCCATTTGGAAGTAAAGTAATCAAGCAGCACTTACTTTTAGCATCATCATCACTGGATGTTGTGGAATTTGGTCTCCTCATGTCACATCCATTGTTCCCTATTTTGTGAGGATCTATTGTGTACTGTATATCAGAGTTTTTTGCCCCATTCATGATGCAAAATCAAAACCTTTTTGCTTTTTTCGGCTACAGCATCTGTTCTGACTGAATCGGTTTGCTTTTTCCCTTGATACAAGGATGATACAGTGATACCGATTAATATTGTATATGGGAAAATCAGGCACGTTATAAGGTAAAAATCATTAGAGGCAAAACTACTCTCAGTGGTCACTTTTTACACATCAGATAAATTGAAAGCCCATAGGCAATCAAGCCTCTTAAGAATCTTATTGAGTTCGTGACAAGAAACACAAGATGTCTTTATCTCAATAAAACTAACAAAGGAGACAATCCACTTCGATGCTAATTCCAAGCTGGCTTTTCCCTCTATGTCAATAAATCTATTGTGTGTTCCCAATAATTACTTGGATTGCAATTTACCCCGTTTGGTGAGTGTTCACATTGGCATTCAGATAGGGCTATAGAATATTACATTACCAGTTGCCCCAGGCAACCAAATTTTACTTGGGGCAACCTATTTTTGAACCTAGGTTAGTAGGTAGCCCAGCAGTGTGCTACTTGAATTTTAACTTAAGAATGCAGATGCTTTTTAATTTTAGGTACAGGTGGGGCAACCTAAAATTCTGGTGGGCAACCTAAATTTTGCCGTAGCCTGGTTCAAAGAAGTATTTTGTACACTGATTACTCAACCACTAAATCATGCAACTTCCATGTACATTGTTGCAGGAGCTCACAATGGAGTCAGCAATCGTTCTTTCCCACAGTGATGACACCAGCATCTACAATATGAAGATGATAACTCATAACCCAGAACCTTGGATATGTTTCAGCAGCAAAATTGCAAATTTCAAGATTTATAAACTACAAGTTCAGTTGTTCGCAAATTTCAGATTGCTGGTGGGTATTTTGAGCCAGGCATATGGATCTTCTGCTATCACTTACAAGTTCAATAATGCTAGCCTTGATATTAAAATTTGCATGATAAACTATTGTGCAGTTATCATCCTTTCAGTGTAATAAATGTGCAGTAATGGAATACAATGATTTTGGGACAATTACGACAAATAATCCGAGTTATGAATTCCCTTATTTAAATGATACAATCTCAAATATTTAGCAATGAAGAAACAGTACCCTATCACAAGCTCAATAGGAAACCTGAAACCTTTCCCCCAGCCTACTTAAAATCAATATTCGTATAGTTCTAGATGGTTAAGCCTGTGCAGCGTGCACAATTATGCCATATCACAGTGTAGCAGAAACGCCCACCCCCTAAAGGTGGTATGGCTGAGAAATGGTGCCATTATTGTTGCTATAAATGTCACTACCTGAGGGATGGTATGATACAGGATTTCATGGCTCCAGCATCTATTCCCGACAGAAAAGAGCTCTTGTCTCTGGAGTAGACAGACAGAATATTTGATAAGCTTTTCCTGACTAAAACAATTTGGATGTCGCCGGTGTGAACAGGAAGGCATTACATATTTATGCTTGTCTATCAGTGAGAAGACTACATGTAGTTATTTTATCTCTCACATTATTATCGAAGTCAGTATGATTAAAGAACATAAAGATCCATGTAACTATTATAAGATATTTATGGTAAAACTGATATGTCTCACAGTGCTCATAATATATAATATAATATATATGTGGCTACAGCTGTACTTTCTGTATGATCAAATTTTGAATAAGGAATTTCTTGTGATAAGTCTGATAAGAAATATTTGTAATCCTCATGCTTTTCAAGAAGGTCTGGCACTAAGACTGACCCAAAATTTTTGCAATGGGCCCTGAATAATTGTAATGAGTCAGAACAATCATTATTGTATCGGTCATATGATTTATTGTGATATTGGCTTGTATTTGTCAACAATGTACCATATTTTGAAATATATTACTAGTCAATCACAAAAGTCTATTTACCAGTCAGTTTCTAATCATATTTCCCCATGTAGACAAGGTTCCCATGTTGCCCTTCGTGCAGGTGATGTATGCCATTGACTATTAGATTGCTCCTTTCATTTCACAAGGGAGGGAAGTCCATTCAAAACTGTCATGTGCTAAAGATGCAAATAGAGCCCTGCTATAGAGGGAAACAGATTTGTGTAAAATCAAATCCCCCCTTTTGGCCGGGTACATGTCTTTGTTTTATCACCAACAGTTTGTCTCAAAATTTTGTTAGCCTTAAGACCTCCCCCATTTTCGTACATAGTTCATCCCGTGGGTCTGGGTCCCCCAATCTCTCTTCCATCAACGACGCAGGTTTGGCCAATCAGGACTCGGCAGGGGAGCGTTCATTATCGGGGAAGGCGGCATACAACATTTATTTTCCAGACATCAATATTCTGCCCATGCTTCCTTCTCATTTCAGGTGCCCAGCCCTGCCAGAAGTAAGCTGACTCAGTGCCTTATTTTCTTCTCGCCACAGGACAGACAACATAGCATCATCATGTCTACGGTCTCTTCCACAGGTTGGTTCCCTTTTTGTTAGATTTGGCATGTTTTTTTCATGGCTTAAAGGCTACTTTTTTTATGTTAGAATTTTTGCTGTAGTATCGGTTCATTTGGCAATTTCGTCGGTCAGTGAAGTCAAAGAAAAAGTGATTTAATTTGCCGGATTCTAACGACATGTGGATGTAGTTGAAATTCTAGTATGGTATCTCTCTTTCTCTGGACAGCATCTGCTCGTGGCTAAAATTTTCCATGTTTGGCATTTTTAATTTTTGCAGGTTTGTCTAGGGGATGTGCAAATGAGGGAAGCAATCTGATTAGTATGACTTGATCATATCTGTAGTTTTGACACGCCCATGTCGGCCAATAAGCATGCAAAGCTTTTCGTATTCTCAATGTTATAAGCAATGTATGTCTTCTGTTGATCGAACTTGCTTGTCATGGATAAGGTTCCTTTTTCAGACAGCTTGGACACTGACATATTCCCATGTCTTCCTCGCCACCTAGCGCTCAGACACACGAGTGATCACGCTTTCCCATTTCAGCTTAGCTCACTGTCTGCTTGACCCCCATATTTGGAGTGTGCCATTAACATACCTTTTATTCACAGTGCAGTTCTGCAGAACGGTTATCCTATGTCATTGTGTACGTACATTAGTAATTTTAAAGGTAAGGAATGCAGAGACATGTTTCAGAATGGAGATTATGCAAATGTAGTGATGATTTGACCATTGGTAATAATGTGATGATTAGTGGACCTGTCATGTTACTGTCTCTTTTGTCAATGTCAGTCTCAGCAGGCCAACATGCAGTTACCACTGATAGATTATTTCCCAATTTAACTTAATTCAACATGGAAGATGATATAGAATTCAGGATGCCACACCACATGAGCCATATAGACTGTTGGTCATTTTAGAATGCAGGCGCACTGGGCCCAGAATGAGTCATAAAATTCATGTACAGTATCAGCCAAGTCATAATTTAACCCAAGGCAGCACATTTGCAGTTGGATTTTCACTCTTTTGGTATTTAGTAAACCCTTGCACAGATTGTATTCTTAAAAGGTAAGCAGGTTTTGAAGTGTTAATATTGATATTTGTAAAGTGATTGATAAGATCTTCTTTCATGTACTAGCTATACATGTATATGTGGAAGCTGCACAGCTTTCCTTTTTGGCCTCAGCTGCCGAAATACAAGAAGTTTATTTGCATTGCAGTACATTTTCCTCATTTGCAAAATCAATGCATCCTTTAATGATACTAGAAAGTAATACCATATTTAATTTTCATACACAGGTAAAAGTAACCATTGCAGCAAACAGAAAGTGCATTCCAGTCATTTGTGTGTCTTTTTTACCCTCAACATTCAACAACTATAGAACTTAACGTCTTTCTGCTGCTGACTTACAATAAAGTGTGCAACCAGATTTGGTACATCTTTGACCTGTATAATAACTGTATATTCTGCACACAACCCCATACAGTAGTATCAGCCTACATTCTGTGCTATACTTTGTAAGGCTGCAAGCCAGGTTGAATCATGACCATGCATGTATAACATTACAGATCCATCCTGTCTGGACAGGGTTTTCTCCACTATGGTCAATTTAATTCACGGAAGTGTAATGGAACGTACATGTCGGACCAGCTTGTTTCCATTTTCCATGCCTCTCTGCTTCCAAGAATGAGCGGTGCCCCTTCATACAACTCAATAATTCCATTTGGCCAGCTGACAAGATTACCATAGGGATTAATGTAGTTTCAGACTGGGATCAAAACTGGCAGTTAATCAATGACACGGGTTTGGGTCCTTCCAAAAAGCTCTTAGCATGCAGAAGCAAGGTGATGTAATGTAGTGTTATGCATAGAAGCCTAGTTAATGGCTCAATATTGCACTGTTAAACACCATATTTTAGGCATCCTGGCAGGTTATTATTTAATTCTTATTAAATTTCTTCGTGCAAAACAAATTATTGTACAGTGTGATTGTATGGTACATGACTGTACATGTGCTTTACATGTATGATACATACATAAGTATTCAGGCAAAAAGACCACTTGCATGTATCCTGAAGTATTTGATCATGTTATCTTGTGGTAGGTATGTACCAGTAGAAGAAATCTTCAATCTTAAACAGATATGCATTATGATGTGGTGGCAACCAGAAATTTAAGTTCCTACCATTTTGATACAATTGTATATGAATTTGTCCTTCAAACCCATCAGAATTTTGGCACTGCCAAATGATTTGTACTTTTGATTGAAATCTTTTAAAAAGAATTCAGTTGATAACCCAGAGCAAAAAGAAATCAAAACTGTCTTTTGAAAATTTTGATAGATATAGATGGATGTATATGCTACTGCAATTTTTGTATAGATGCCATGACAGTTCGGATGTTGTTCAGTTATAATCATAAATGGTACACTTGGGATCTCATTCAATCTTTAACATGAATCACAGTGTTGAAATAGCCGATAATGTCTCAATATTAGAGTTTTAGCACCACCCCAGAAAGTCATTAAATTGTTGGTGCTATCCGGTCTAATTTATCTTACATCATATGAGTCATCTCACCCATGAAAAGAAAATGGAGTCAAAATGTATGCCATGACTGTAAACACATATCTGTAACACATATCACATATAACACATATCAGTCCAAAATACAAATTACGTTGGGGTTCATGTATGTGATACACATATCTCCCTGAGAACCATATTGCAAAGCCATCATTGTTATTTGATACCGAATGTAGCCTTCTGCACTAAAAAATGTCTCACCCAACATTAATAATTAGTAGTACTTTTAGACAACCATGGGAGGGATTGGTGATCAATGCTTCCTCGACGCTGATGTTTCAAATAAGTCAGAAACCTCTAAATCATTAAGTGTATCAGGTCCTACTAAGTCTGCAAGCCATACTGATAAGCAACAAATGGTCATCCAAGCATTCATTCCAGTTCCAGCTTATAGCATACATGTATTAAGATATGGGGATGCAACACAGGTGTTTGAGGGTGTACCATCCTGGCATACTAATGCTGGAAAGTCTGCACCACTGGGCATCAGAATGTCAGATTCAGCTGGAGATGGTTCAATTGGAGGGGTCAAAAGAGGATCCCCTAGGATGCAACCAATCTCCCCAGCATCTGCCTTGCAACCAAATTAGAACTAATTGTCCCAGCAGGACCATAGTCCATGGTGGATTTTTGTGCAGAAAATTAGATTTTAAAATGTAAAGTGAGGCAGACAATCTTAATCATGAGACGAAATACATGTATGTGTGATGTGAAATGTTAAAGGAATTGTTGTTCAAAACATGTGCATTAGAGGCATGTTATAGACAGAATTTTGATTTTCATCCGTATGCATTTAGCTATAGTCGCCATAAAATATTCACTTCTTTGTTTCTTGGCAGTATTAAAAATGAAGAAAAGTTGTGGATAGCCAAGGAAGATAATCACTAAAAGCATCATCATGGTGGTGAAATAGATGAAAGTGATGAACTAGTACAAATGAGGCCCCTCCCAATGGGTGCCAAGTAATTTATTACGTGGATCTATATACAAATCATCAAGAAGTGTAAACTCAGTCCTTTTTTATGTTCAAAACTACATAGTACTAACTTGAATGTTTATACTGTGGATTGTCAAATCACTTGACTCATTGAACTGTTCAGATAATTTTGCTTCATGTGCAATGAAGGAAACTAAAAATGAAAATTTTATTTGTATAGACTACAAGGCAATACATGTAACTTGGTATAATAATATATGGAAACAGGGACTGGTCACATTAAGATGGACATTTTGCAAACATGCCAATACATGTATGTCAATTTCAGTTCCTGAAGAATTCTTTATTATTACGTAATAGTAGCAGCATTTCCTGTGATGTACCAAATGTTTTGCTAGATCATGTGTTCTCTGGAAACCAGTGGAAATATTGAAACTTTCAGGGTGATATGTAGATGGTACTGCTGCATTTTGATACTGTAAATTAGTTAATTTCTGCACTTAATTTTTTAGAATGGTAAAGGAAGTTTTGTTTTCAAGTTTGCAGTTGACACCAATATAGTAACCACTGTAAACATTTCCAGATTTACATACGTGGTAATCTTACACATGTACACATTTATATATTGACAGTCATACATGTATTTCAGTCGTGTATATTTAAATGAAGTTGATGTACAACATTCAGCTGCAAGAAAGTTATTACACCTATTCCCCTAGGACTGGTGTCGACAGGTGCATCCATTTGGTTCATTTTCTTCACTGAAAGGCATGACCTATATTTTGTTTTTTATTGATTTTTTTCCATGTTACCAGTAGCTTACCCTGCAAACCAGATACATGCACTACATTACATGTGTAATTAGATGACTCAGTCAACTGCACAGTTCAATCCAGGTAGAGTTTCATTATTAAATGTGCAAACTGGGAAGGAAAACGTGTAAAGTACATTCAACCAGAAGTCATTGAAAAAATGAAAATTCATTGGGAAAACAGACTTATCTTAAGGCAATTCAAGAACACAAAATCACACAAAATCACAAGTACATATGTACATAATACCTTGCCTCTTCAACAATGATCGCTTTTGTTCTTGGTTGCAGAATTGTTTTTAACGTAGAGAAAAGTAGGTAGGAAGACATGTACATTGTGCTCAGCCTTTTGTGTCCTCCTGCACCCCCTCCAAATTTTCTAATTCGGTAGGATGATACATACATGTAGTTAAGCTCATTATCCAGCACCACTGTAGAGACCGGACAATGAAACATCATTTAGGCCTTAATTGCAGGTTCTGGAAAGACCACGCTTACTATTCTTTTGATCCTCCACCAATTTGTGATGGTATGGATAAAGATAAATGCATGTATGGTACATGATGCATAGTGACAAGAGCCCCACCCAATTCAATATTAAGACATTACTGGCAGACATGCTCATTCGCTGTCTAGACTCATCGGTATCAGTATGGCACGACACTGGTAAATCCCAGCCTCCCTGCCCTGGCTAAACCCACAGGACTAGCCAAACCTGCATCCTGCCATCAGTATGGCATAAAATTATGACTGTAACCATGGCAACTAGCACTATCCGCTCTTGCCAACCGTCTGTAAATCGTCTCCAGGGAATGATAGCTTTTAAAGAACAGACATGTTGGAACCATTGAAAGTCCTATTGCAGGTAAAGAAGTAACAGATCATGATCTTCTCAGGCAGGAGCTTCATCATATGTTGACAAGCTGACTTCAATTTCCGGTATTAAAAAGACTGTTGATAGCCATGTGACATGAATTTTAATATGCATTTCAGACATGGGAATCCTTCCCTTTTCTGAGAATCGATTGATGAATGGATGTTGGTTAAGGTGGAGCTTTCAACCTTTAAATAATAATTTTTTGTCAGTCAAAACCTCCAGGTCAACCTAAAAATTTTCGTAGTACATATAAGACTACATGATTAAATGTACAAATAAGTGGAAAAGATTATGTACTACTTGTGGTGTTCCTTGATCTGTGGCTTACGTTGACTTGCAAGTCGTGTTTGCCAATGCAGCAAATGTAGTACTAAAATATATCCCCTGGGAAACATGCTCATACATATGTACATTGATGCACACAAAAGATTAAATCTCATTACATAAAGTTCTGATAACAAACAAATCATCAGCTCCCTGTCATTAGATGGAAACAGTACCTTGCAAAAAAAAATCTGAAGGTCTTATCTTTGCTTTTGTGTAGAATTGCACATTATTTACAATACATGTATATGTAAGCTTGTAGTTGTACACGTTTTATATATGCTCTCTCCTTGTCACTGCATTGAATGTGATTGTGAAGAACTGATCAACTTCAAGGTATTCCATCCATGGCACCAATGTTCATTTTGAAATTCATTGTGCTCATTAGGTCACAACAATGAAACAGTGTTACAGTGTTCAAAATAGTTAACAGCATAGCCTTGCTTAAGTTAAAGAAACTGCAGCATTTAGACTTTACATTAGTTACATGTACAAGTACTTTTGTAGTTGTGATGTGTGGTACTTCGATTTTACACGTAGACTGTTGCCCCCAAAACAGTTAAAGAACTAACCCATTGCTTTTTTTGTATGTTGACTTGCTGCTAATCAAGGTCATGGATTCTCCCGACATAACATCTGTATTACCCTTTTTAACCCCTTTTCAGTCAAGCTGCACCAAGATGTCCTCATTCTTCATTTCAACATAGCTGTTGATTACAGTACATTACATGTACTATTAGCTTATACATTGTACATATGTAACGCTGAAATATTCATATGTTTTGTCTCTTTCTCTTTCCATCCAAGCTCTCAAAGAGAAATTCACAGAGCTATCCCTTATATCGCTACTCTGTTCCTGTATGCACAACGATAAAGTCAAAGATGAGGTCATAAAATATGGCGGTCAGTAAGTCACCTTGTCCTCTGTGATGTGGTGCATGTTTGTAATTGCTGCATGACAGTGTTGCCTTATTCTGTTGACTAGTGCTTGTTGAACCTTGCTTTCCACAGGCCTGCAAAACAGCCTTAGAATCTGAGGTACCTATATTAGCTACCTGTAACTGCTTTTCTGACAAACCCATTTGGTACCCATTGCACACCTTACCATACATTATTATGCATGTAGACTAGTACTGCATCATGCCATCACTTCACAATTTTTTTGGATAACACAACGACCACAAGGATTATAAACTGCTAGTGTTTGGAGGTACAAAGCAACTTATGTAAAAATTCTAAATGAGACAGTTCACAGCTTCATATAAAACAGAATCTTGATAATGTCTCTTCCACCAGTATGGTACTACTGATAGTACATGTGACAGATATTTGCTCACCTATATTCATTACTTGGTGACGTACGCAAGAGTAATGCAATGGTATATCTGTAAACCTCCTGACACTATGTCAAGCAATTACATGGTTGCTCGGGCTATCCTGGTCAGCAAATGCCTGGGCTATCCTGGTCAGCTGATGTATCTCACAGCTCCACAAGAAAATCTGATTATACTGCTTCATTTTAAAAGAATCATCAGGACTCTTCCATTTACAGAATGGTAGGGACAAATTCAGAATTATAGATGTAGTCATTACAAAAGTGGTTATCTGATGATGAAGAGCTGTGGATATATTTGTCTTTTGTTAGCC